ATAGATAGATAGATAGATAGATAGATAGATAGATAGATAGATAGATAAGATAAGATAGACAGACAGAGAGACAGATATAGATATAGGTATAGGTATAGATATTCAGAATAATTATTCTATTTTGGACCCTTATTCATTAAGGAGGAAACTGTTGGCTTATGCCCCCACAGAATTAAACAGCAGCACTACAGTGAGCACCAAGGCCCGTGTCCTCCTGTGCAGGAAGCTGTCGCAGGCCTACATCTTATTTCAACAATTCCTCCTTTCTAGGCCTATGAGGTGTTCCAAATTTGCCTAATTCGGAAACAATAATATTAATAACAAAATAATAATAACAATAACAATAATAGGAACAGGAATAAGAATTCAATATTCTTACATAAGATTATACAAAACTGGGGAGCATTGTTTTAGGGTTCCCTGGCTATTACTGGTTCAGGCCCCTGGGCGTGCCAACCGCCCAACATTTCAGCCTCATTAACAGTAAAATTTAATAAGCGGTCACAATGGCAAGCGGCAGTAGCTCAAGAGCCATGTCAAAATTCTCAAACCTCATCTCCTCCAGACCTACTTCGGCTCCAATCCCCCTCTGCAACCACCCCTGAATATGTCTGTGTAATCCAGATGCAGCGCAGCTGCACAAGATCAGGTAGCCCATCTAGATCAGTACAAGTGTCTCAAAGTGCCTCTGTGGCCACATTGCTCCAACAGTGGCCAGATTCTGTCAAGATGATGACTTACCAGAAAAGATCCCCGCAAAGATGAGACTGTGGATGGAATTAGCAATACGCCAATGTATCTCTACGGGGGTGCAGCATACTGCTCTGGCCAACAATAGAGCGCTCCTTCCGATTGGAATTCCCTATAACTCTGGTCACTAAGCAGGATAGAGCATCCTCACCCTCGGGTATCTCTCCACAGGAGATTCTGTAGTTTCAGATATATTCCCGCAAGGTATATAGAAGGAGCAAGGGCTATTGATCGGATGAAGCCAGAGGACTCAGAGTTCTCCTGCTCAAATTCTCAAATTCTAGTTAGATTCGCATCAGCTCACATTAAGAGGTGATGGTTGATGCTACTTCTTGACAACTAAAACAATGCCAGCATCATTTTGTTTATAAGAAATCCATGGCATTATCTGTTGAGAGGCCACTTCCCCTCACAAGGATCTCCATGAGGGTCCAGGGGACATGCCAATTATGGACCTCTTTCTGAGGTTGACTATTGGGCTTCCTTTTTAAGTTGGCAGTCCTCACAGAATTCTAGCAGCACAGTAACAGCGAGCGCCAAGGCCTGTGTCCATCTGGGCAGGAAGCTGTTGAGGGCCAGTGACTGCAGGATCACCCAATTGCAATACAGGTCCTGGAAGGTGTTCTCTATTTGGCCTCACAATTTGATTCCATATTCAGTCATCTAATTATGAGTTTGGTAACAGCACAACAATTTATGTTAGTAGCTGTGCACAGATATAACAAAAATATTATCAATAATAACAATATTAATATCAATATTATTATGAATAATAACATAATAACAAATTGAATTTACCAAAAAAGGGGGGCGGGAAGCAAATATCAAGAGGATTCCCTGCCTCTGTTTGCATCAGTCCTCTGAACCAGTTAACAGTCCATTAATATCTCATACATATAGATATAGATATCTCACCTTGTGGGCTTTAGGTCAGAATCTTCAAGGGCAACCAAAAATACCCCCAGAGGACAATAAACCAACTCAAAGTAGGTCAAGACGTCCTAGAGAGACCTCTAAGGCAACAAAGGATGCCAAGAGACACCAAAATGCGTTAGATGAGCATATCTTAAATTTTAAAAAAAAATGCATGAGGGAGGTTGAACAGAAGTCTCAGTCCTCTTCCCCAGCCAGGCTGATCCCAGTTCCAGAGTGCTTGCTTCAGCAGCATATATACTAAAATTGGAATGATACAGAGAAGATTAGAATGGCCCCTGCACAAGGATGACACGCAAATTTGTGAAGTGTTCCATATTTCACCTTGCCTCCATCCCTGGATTTCTCAATGCCATCCAGGAGAGCCTCAGAGGGACCGGTTCAACCCAGGCCTTCAGCAGCGCTACTTGCCTGACAGACATTGTGGGACCACACCAGAATTCCTCCTCCCAGAGGATATCCCTGACAAATTGAAGGCCTGGAGGGACATGGCAACTTGAAGAGGCATCGCAGCCGGGGTACAGTAGAAGTTGTTGGCTAGGCAGCCTCCACAATCTGACCTTGATTCTCACTCAGTTTAGTTACTATGCAGAATGGACCTTCATTACCAGCAGGTACCTCCTTCAGGGGAGTATTATATAATCCAGTTACACATTCACATGGTGTACAGGATGAGGGAGAACTAGAGACCAGATGGAACAGGTTGAGGAAGGGTCTACTCACAACAGTGACCAAAATCTGTCAGAGGCGGATCCCCTAAAAAAAGGGGGCATGTCAAACATTGAAGGCATTAAGCCAGACCACCGACCTTCAGGTCTGTTTCGCTCTCAGACTTTTTTCAAGTCTCTGTTGTTTCAAACAAAAAAAAACCCTACTGCCTGCCTTGATATTCCATTCCCCTCGGCCCAACAATCGTTACTGTAAGGGGAGGTCAGATGATTTAATCTTCTCCCAACCAATAATGTAAGAGGAAGTCATAACTGTCCCACAGAGGTTCTTGGACCTCGTCCAGAAACAAGGGGTCTCTTCAGTGGCATATATCCCTCTTACAGGATATGATAGAAAAATTTTAATTTGGTTTTCTCATTCTGCTAAATTTCTCATCACCACGATAGTAGATAAAACAATAATGGCAATTATCCTCCTCCTCTGCAATTCCTACAGAAGCAGAAGAGGCTCACAAGTCAAAGGATATACAGGGTCGAGTTGTCCCCATGTAGGGCATGTTGATCTGATGTGAGGGCCATAAGAGCGGAGTTGGCTGCATTTTTTTTACTAGATCGTCTCTCAGGTTGCTCTGCCATCTGAGGGAGATTATCTCAAATTCCAATATCAGAGCAGACAAGGACACCACAAAACTCCACACCACAAATTTAATAATTATCTGCTCGAGCCAGGGCATCTCAGGTTACTCCTCACCTACTGCAAGGGCTCAGACATTGGCTGAGATATCACACAACTAATGGAAACTTGCTTCCTCCGTAATATAGAGAGATAATTTGGTTGATGGTGTCCCTGACCTATCTCTGATAGAAACTAATAGCAGAAAATAAGTTCCTCTCTTTTCATGGACCCCCAAAATAGTCCTTCCTAGCTTTCTGGAGGGTTCCTTCGTTCCCTCTACCAGGGACTTTTTCCCTCCAGACTCCAGGGACCGTCTGGACGCATGAATCACCAACAGATAGTTTCCGATCTGGAGATAGATACTGAAGGGGAGGGCAGAGCAAAAGAATCTCTCGAGGAACATGAAATAGAGGTCTCTGAGGCGCAACATAGGCCTCACGACTGTGCCCCTATTGGTGGAAGGCTCAAGCCTTTCACGGACAGATGGGATGCCTCTACCTCTGTTTCCTGGGTTAGCGTATCAGAAGATTAGGCCTGGCTATAGAATTTCCATCCTCTCCCCAGAACCTTTGCATTACTTGCCCTCTCTCTGGGGATCCTGTTAAAGGGAGCATGATGGAGACAGCTATTGTTCATTTATTGGAGATCCAGGCAACCGACATGTGGCACCAGATCAACAGGGGCAATTTTAGTTTTAAAATGACTTAATCGATCCATAGTTCATAGGAGGCTTAAGATGAGTATACTGAACTCCATACTTCTGAGCTTCAGAAGGGGTGATTTTCTACCCTCCATTGACTTAATGGAGGCCCATCCTCACATTCCAATTAGATCCTCACATAGCAAAACTCTTAGTTTTTGTTATAATACTCAATGTTTTGAATACGTTGCACTGTCCTTTGGGTTGTCATCTGCCCAAGGTTCTTACGAAGGTTCTGATGGCTCTGGCTGTCCATCTCAGGGGAACACCTGTTAGATGGCAGGGTTATTTATGTGACATTTCATTATTATCTTGTTCATATAAACAGGCAAAGGGGAGGCCTTAGCATCGGTCGTCACTAGGAGAGACTTGCAGTCCATCTCTCATCACCCACGCATATGCAATTTTCTTGCACAGGGCTACAATCTTACAGCCTCCTGTAGTGCATTGATATCACACGTGGGACCTCAACAAGGTCCTTACCGCACTCAAGAAAACTCCCTTTGAGCCCATGTAGACCATGTGTCTCCATTCCTAACGTACAAGATGGTTCTCTTGGTTGCCTTTACATCGGCCAGTTACATCTTGGATCTAGTAGCCTTGTCAGTTAGACAGGAGCTCTGTATTTTTCACACAGACAAAGTGGTCCTTAGTCCAGATCCATCTTTCACCCATAGATAAATTTGGATTTCCACAGACCGTAGGAACTGATACTCCCGTACATTTGTCTGAAACCGACATAAAATCTGGCACGACAATGCCACAATCTAGATGTAAGGCGAGCTTTCTGCATATATTTCAACCGCACGATGTGTGTTAGGAAACAAAGGTTCTCTTCGTTTCTTTTCAACCACCCACCACTGGGTGCAAGACCCCTTCCTCAATGACCAGTAAGTGGCTGAGCGCACAATTCCCAAGTCCTATGAGACACAGTCTCTTCCTGTACCCAGGGGCATCACTGCTCATTCGACCTGGAGCACTGTGATGTTGACAACATGGGCCACAAGCGCCAATAGAGAAAATTTACAAGGCGACAACATGGGCCTCACCATCGCCTTTTATTTAGAAACTATTAGAATGATGTCTTCGCCTCTACGGAGGCTGCCTTTGACAGGAGAGTGTTACAAAGGGTCCATAGGGACCAAGAAAAAGGGGAATCCGAGCCAGACGGAAGGACACGCCAACCTCCCGTAGGACACGCCAAGCTTTGGTATGTCTCAAACAAAGGATGCTCTGAACAGCTCATCTGGAGAAGGGGCGTTGGTACTTACCTGACACGCCCTTTCTCTGTGAGCTGTGAAGAGCATCCATCCCCACCCTTATTCGTCTGATGGGATGCTATTCCAGCCAAGTATTAGAAAGGGTGAAGGAGAAGAAATATTTCATCACTTCGACTTCGCCAAAACTGGGGACGCTAGGGAGGAGTCCCGTGGAGGAGGAGGAGCATCCTCTCAATTAAAGCCCAGCCTATCAAACGAGCAACAGAAGCATCACCCCAAACAATGGATGCTGTTCACAGCTCACAGAGAAAGGGCGTGTCAGGTAAGTACCAACACCCCTTCTCTGTCTCTGCTATTTTGCAGATGAATTATCAGAGTTATTTTGGAAGTATCTGCCTTTATTTCAATATGTATAATGTTGGTGTTAGAAAAAGGCCCTGATGCCCATTTAAAACTACAGAGTAATATTCTGGCAAATTGAGAACTTTTTTTTGCATTTTTAAGTATGCTATGCTAACATATGAATCTTAGATGTACTATTAATTTACGATTATATTACTTAGTTGTTTGAATGTACACTGAGAGATTATGCACTGGAGACAAATTCTTTGTGTGTCCAATCATACTTGGTCAATAAAGTATTCTATTCTTAATCCTAATCCTATCCTATTCTAGTATAATATATATTATAGTATATTAAATGTACTACTGTATGTTAATGTAAGTATAAGTTCTCTGGGTAAGTTAATAATATGCAACATCAATATATTAAATTATAGAACAATGAAAGTATTCATTTTAAATACTTTCTGAGTATTTACTGAGTATTTACTGAGAATCTCAGACTATCAATCATTTAAATGGCTCTTAGTAATGTCAGTAGTCTATAAAGATTAAATAAGGCAAATTCCTCTAGTAGTGTTCTTCTGTATTTCAGATGCCATTCTCCAAAAAGCCACCCCCCCTTTTTTTGCTTTATTTGGTCTTTAAAGACATTTTTAAATATATAAGGGTGCATTAATCTTCCAATAGGATTAACATAGCTATCAAACATAGCTATCTATTGATTTTAAAAAGTTCAAGAACTTCAACAGTTTGTCACTGAATTATAGTGGCCAGCTCTTGAAGGAGAAACAGTGGCTGCATATAGTACAGTGTAGTGTAGCAGTGATGGATTAATTGGGAACATCCAAGTTCAAGTCCCCAGCTTAACTAAGATGTTTACTGTATTACTTCTGGTCAGTTTCCATCTCTTAGAGCAGCACTTCTCAACTTTGATAATGTTAAAGTGTTTGCGGTCTTCAACTCTCAGAATTCCCTAACTAACATGCTTGAAATTCACACTTCTTAAAGTGATGCAAATTTGAAAAACACTGTCTTAGAGGAAAGACAGGAATATAAATACAATTGAATAGATAATAATGGAAAGAGCTGATGCCAGACTCCATCTATGGACTCTAGATTATCCATTCCTTTTTGAGAACTTGCTTGTCCTCTCTGATGCCCTACTGGATAATCCGAGAATTGAAGTATCAGCACCTCTGAAAATGCCAGATAAAAGAATGCTGGTTTCAAGGGAAGAGCAGCCATAGGGCGAATATCATCCAGTTGGGTAGATTAACTAAATCAATAGCATTAGTTGCTACAAATGGTATTGAAGTGCTCTGTGTATATTCTTTTGTACTGACTCACCATTTATCTTTTTTATTACTGAAGTTTGTAAGACAAGAGTCGCCCATGGAACCAACTCTCATGAGGTAAGTATTTGCACAGGGCTTCATATACTGTGTATTTAGAAAAACTGCCTTGGCTGGGAATTAAGAGAAAACTATAGTAGTCCATCTGTGAGTTTAATTCCTAAGCTTCAAGGAAAATTAAGGAGGTTTTATTCTTGTTCTCTTTCATGCATACTTAGAAGTCATTCTTCATATGCTCATGGTTTCATTAATATTGCAAATCTGTTTTTTTCTCATTTCGAAGGCCAGTTTATACATACTCATACCCATCCATCCATCCATCTATCCATCCATCCATCATTTGTTTATTTATTTGCAATTTTATAACCCATCCTAATGCACAGGTTTTAGGCATCATTTGTCAAAATCGAACATAAAAGAGACAGACATAGAATGAATAAATACCCCAAGATGATTGCCATTAAATAATGACTTGGTTTTTTTAAAAAATAGAATAAGATATTGACAGCTGTACAAAATGCCGAGGGGGTGGGGTGGGGTGTGTTACAAAAGCCTATGAAGAGAAGGCATTTGAAAATATGAGAACTATAACAGAAAAGTCCTGTCACCTAGTCTTCTTAAAATGGGTGGAGGGGGGAAGGTAGTCTCAAGGGCTTTCTCACGATGTTTCTATTTCATGAATGGGTTTAAGTTTGACAAAGAAATGCCTTGTCTAACATAGTGCAATGCTACATGGGAAGACTGTGACAATGGTGCTAACCTGCAGTGATGAGTTACCCCGTCATTGGTTCAATTGCTGCTTATGAACTAGCTGCATTTTCTGGGTCAACTCCGAAGGCACCTCATCTCAATTTGGTAGATGATCTCAGTAGTTTGACAGGCATATTAAATAACATACGGGAGAGCACCAAACTCTGTGAGGTTTGCATTGGAACTACCATAGAATTGTCATCTTCCTGGCCCCAGTGATCCAAACCGGGTACAGATAGTCCTCGACTTACAACAGTTCATTTAGTGACTGTTTGAAGTTACAATGGCACTGAAAAAAGTTACTTATGACCATTTTTTACACTTAGGACCATTGCAGCATCCCCACGATCGCATGATTTACATTTGGATGCTTGACAAATGACTCACATTTATGATGGTTGCAGTGTCCTGGGGTCATGTGATCCCTTTTGTAACCTTCTGACAAGCAAAATCAATGGGGAAGCCAGATTCACTTTACAACTGTGTTACTAATTTAATAACCACAGGGATTCATTTAACAACTGTGGCAAAATACATTTTACAGATGTCTCACTTTACAACATAAATTCTGGGCTCAGTTGTGATTGTAAGTCGAGGACTATGTCTATTCTCACTGAGAGCACTGAAGTTGACACATCCAACTGACATAGGTGACCCTACAGATACCATAGACAATGTTTTTAAATGCTGCTAAAAGTTCTCACAAGGCCAAGAGAAATATCCTGACCCAATAAGGGATCCGTGAAGGTCATGTAGGATGACTTTTACCATTTCCGGCCCATTACACATAATTGTTTTATTCTGTATTTATTGTATATTTTATTATAAATTATTTTGAGATGTTTTGGCATAAGGAAACAGTAGAGAAGCATAATTAAGTTTGGGGGAAAGGCTAAATCAGAAATCAAGTGGGAGAGACAGATTGCCAAGTGTTTCCAACTGGATAGCACAGTTCTGCATCTACTCTCTCTCTCTCTCTCCCTCCCCCCCCCCCCCCCCCCCGCCCCCAAATAGATCTGAACACTTGGCATAAAAGCATAAGAAGAGCTCTGCTGGACCAAGCCAGTATCTCAAAACACTTCAACATTGTGTGTTTTACAGTGATTAAGCAACTGCATTCAAGAAGTTTACAACAAAAAGAAAGGAAGGCAACAATATTCTTCAATTCCTGCTCCCTAATAGCTTATATTTAAGTTTTGCTATCTCTAATCAAGCATAGCAAACACCAATTACTCAATCTTCCATCAGTTTGTCCAATCCCATTTAAAAAACATCTGAATGTATACTAACGCCACTGACAGAAGCAGCGAATAATTGTATGTATGTATTCTGTGCATACGGCTACTGGAACCACCAAATACAATTCTTGCTTATGCGAAACATGCACTTTTCATTTGTATGACTGTAATTGCAAGTCATGTCTTTATTTTTCAGATGGCTATCATATTCAACCGTGAAGGCCTGAAAGCCATCCAACCTCCATGTGTGATTCAAAGTTTCATCAACCACAATGCTGTCCTGTACAAAGTCTTTGTGGTTGGAGAGTCATATACTGTGGTGAAGAGGCCCTCTGTGAAGAACTTCTCAGCAGGCATTTCTGGTAAGCTTTGGGAGTGATAATTCAACACGGTGTACTAGTGGGAAAATCTAAACAACACCGTTTTCCATTTTGGTGAACCCTGATGCAAAACATAGAAGTTGAAGAAGAATAAACTCAAATGTTTCCCTGACTTTTTGATATTTTTTTAATTTCTCCCTTATCCTCCAAACCCTTGTAGCACTGATTTCTTTGGGAGATAGCAACTGTTCTTGCCAACAACTGCTATGTGCATTCAGTTTTATGCACCAAAGTACTAATCCAAAACTGAAGAAAACGGGGAGGATATCACAGACTTCTTCCTAAAACAAGCAGGTCAAGATGGAAGCAGAAGAGATTGTTAGGACTAGGAACCCCTACATGTTTTTAATTCTGTCTAGAGGTTTTGAGATTATGGCATCATAAATATTTCACTAGATGTAGTTGGTTTCAAATTCTATTTGATACTTGACCTTGACCATCTCCACTGAACTCTTCCTCTAAGAAATTTGGAAAATTATTCCCTGCGTGATACGTACATTCTACCTGCACTTTATTGTAAGTACCCAGAGTCACATTTTGTATAAAGGGCAGTTATATAAATATGATTGATTGATTGATTGACCATACTGTGATCTTTCTTAAAGGCTTTGATATTTTATTCATATGCTATTTGCTTGAAATCATACTAATGAAATTCTTACATTGGTTCATAATATCTAGATGGTCTCATTATGGTATATCATTCAAGAAAAATGCACTGAGTTAAAATGTTCTGTGATTTCATTATTTTTTCTTTACTTCCTATGAACAAAACATTTTTGGAAACTGTATAGGTCTGCTTTTTATTTAACTATTTATGTTGAATCACTTGTTTATAGTCAAGTATGCAGTTGATCCAAAGTCAAGTATGCAAAATAACAAGATGAAATATTTAAAAACTGACAAATATATATTCATAAGAAAAAAATAATCAAATTGAAGCAGGAAAGGCTTCCTTATATACAGTACATTTCCCAGCAAGGCATATTCAGACATTTGGAATATGGCTTTTAGAAAAAGAGACTAATTTAAAACAACAAACAAAATTACAAACGGACATAAGCAAAAATCTCAAATGCATAAATATTGAAATTGTGATGATTGGGAAGAGAACGGAAGGGAAGAGGGAATATGTTACCAAAATTACCTTTCACAATGTTTTTACGTATGGTCTACTTTTCCTCTTGCCTTTTGTATCTTTATGCTTTGCTTTTTGTATTCTTTTAGCTTATGCAATGTAATAGAAAACATTGGAAGTAGTTTCATATAAACTATTTGTTAATCAACAAGTATCTATTTAGGGTTGTTTGTTAAATCCTGTAACCTTATCCAAGTTTTCAGTTTAAATACATATTCTATCATAAGGTTTAGAACCAATGCACATTTTGCTTTAGCCAAAAATTACATCTTTATTTTTTGATGCTTCAATTGACATCTGAAATGAAAACTTCGGACCATGAATTCAGTGGCTAGAAAATAATTCATCTTCTGCTTATTTCTAATGAATCAATGAATATATCTTCATTCTTTTGGGAGTACTTCAGATATGACTAATTATTTACATAGGCAAATAGGCTGCCTATAGTATCAGAAACTCTTTTGATTTCTTGATTTGTCTATGTGATTGATCTACTACTTGAAATTTAACAGAGTCTAGATGGCTTACATGATTTCTTGTATAAACAGAGTACAAATTTAATATTAAAATCAATTATATAATTAAACTCATAATCTAATTCTCCAAATTAGAGTTCTTACATAATAACTACAAATTAGTTTGGCATTTGGTTTGGCGCCACTGGCTATAATCCCTCAAGGTCTTCTGGAAGAGCCATGTGGTCACCTGTTGCTGAAAAACCATAAGGATGGGTACTATCCTTGTTTCAGGGGGCAATCAAGTCCAAATGAGGTGTGCTGCAGAGAACATCCCTTGTCAGGTCACCTCCCATTGTATTTCCTGATATACAGGGATCCTTGGGTGCTCCCTAGTTCAGATGGGACAGTCTAAAACCATATGGGAAAAAATGGTCTCTACAGTATGGCCCAGAGCCTCATACAGCTTTACAATGACTGACTCTTTGAATTGCACTCACAAACTTTCTAGCAACCAGTGCAGAGCTGTCATATGCCAATATTGGCCTCTCGGTATATGTGCTATTAATACGTACATTTTTGATCACCCGAAATTTCTGGATGGTATTCAAGGGTTTCCCTATGTAGAATGAATTACAGTAACCTAATTTACAAATGACAGGGACATGAGTTCCTAGCGAAGCAAAACCCCATCAAGTCAAAGATGGAGAAGTTGGCCTCTGGAGCAACAGCCACTCCATCTGGTTTGGGTTAAGTCTGAGCCTGTTTTTCCCCATCCAGACCCTGACAGCCTCCAGACACCGTGTCATGTCTTCCACAGCATCTCCCACTGGGCTTGGAGTGGAGATATATACCAGGAGAATAGGACAAATTGTAAGTCACAGACCAAGAGATGGAAGTCAAAGAGGGGAGTGTTAATCAGAATTTTAGGCAAATATATTGGCAAAGTGGGAACAGAAAAATAGCTTTACAAAAATTAGCCCAAACAGTAGGCTGCTGAATTATTTTACAGACCTCCCTGACCAAGTAGATGCACAAGATGTTCATTGCTGATCACAAACAACCTGTCTACAGTGACTGGGCATAAGCAGCACAAACTCTTAAAAGACAATGCTTCTTCTTATTTCATTGTTGATTTTTTTTTTTTTTTTGAAGCAAGCAAGCATCAACACAGGTATCTTTTCCCTTCTCCAGCAACTCCTGATATTTCTTCTATTTTTTTAAATTTGTTATTGTTTCAAATAAATAAATAAATAAATGCCTGATAAAAGTTCTGCTCCTTTTTGCAACAAAACTTATCATTTCCTTGTCAATTATGGAAGCCAGGACATTGCATTATGGCAATTGATTAGAGCTGAGTACAAATAGGAATGGTGTAAATATCAAGGATTTTATTTGTTGAAAATATGGATAAAGTTGCTGGATTATAGTGCCCTCTAGTGCTTGTAGATTCAAATATTTTTAAGACTTAAGTAGTGATTTTGAATTTAACTTTTAAGAGCAATTTTTTGTTACTTGCATGTGATTTTTTTTTAGTTCTACAGATTTGTTTGTAACTTACTTTTTTCTGTATTATTTCCAATCTAGATAGAGAGTCAATATTTTTCAACAGCCACAATGTATCAAAACCAGAATCCTCTTCCATCTTAACAGCAGTAAGTATTCCAGACTTATTTCTCCAAACACTGATTCTACCAATAGACTACTCTCAATTTAACACTGTTCTCAGGTTTATTTTCAGGAATTATTGCAGGAAAGCAGAAACTCAGAATTATCCAAAATCTTTCACAAACATATCTGAAAATGTTTTTCTTTCCTTGAAACATAGGAATTATAATACTTCCATTCATTCAGTGACCAATCAAAATTACAGAGTTATTTAGGTGAATGGTCCTTATGCCAGGTCCCCAAAGTTGGGGCTGTTGCAGCTCACCTGCACTTATGACCACAAGGGGGGACTTCAACACTCCCACCCGCCCACCCACTTCTCTGCCCCTCCCTGCAGTCCACTGCCTCTGCTAGTCCTGCCACCGTAAAGTTGACATTTTGTCCCCAGAGTTATGGGATTTTGTCATTCTGGCAAGGTTTCAGACATTTTAAAATATTGATCTGTGGCATCTGCAGATGCTGTGTTTCATGTCTGGAGGGAATGCGAGGGTACATGTTTTTTCTTACAATTTCCTTCTCTGTCTCTCTTTTGCAGCTTGATAAAATAGAAGGGGTGTTTGAGAGACCAAATGACGACGTTATCCGAGCAATCTCAAAGACACTAAGGCAGACTTTGGGGATTTCTCTCTTTGGCATCGACATTATCATTAATAATCAGACTGGTCAGCATGCAGTCATTGATATCAATGCATTTCCAGGTGAGAGCAAACCGACATATACAATACACCAAAATACAAATATCATACTTCAAAGTTAACATTCATTTCAAGCAAGAGTGCAGAATATTATTTTCAGACAAAGCCCAAGAATTCTCCTTTCAATAGTAGACCAAGAATTCAGCTTCCAAAAATGAGTAAGGTCAAGGCAAAGCCCAGGATAAAAAATGAAAATATAAATGTTATGTAAATCAGATTAAATCAAATCAGATTAAATACAAATAATAGGATTCCATCCACTTCTATCATAATAAAAATACTTTTGAGATACCCTCAGACTCTAAACTGTGGCTTCCCCCTTTAAAAAAATAAAAATATGTTCACTGTCAAGACATGGATGAAGAAAGTAGCAGAACCATGTTTTTGGATTTGGTTCAGCATCAACACTTCTTTCAGAATTTTATCCTTGCCTCAGTAAGACCCTCCATGCATTTAGAAACTCAAATTATGCAATGGACCCCTTACAATTCTAAGTATAGGTTGTCCTCAACTTGCAACAGTACATTCAGTGAACATTCAAAGTTACAGCAGCATTGAAAAAAGTGACACACATAATCAACGGGGAAGTCAAATTCACTTAAAATGTGTACTAACTTAACAACTGCAATGATTCACTTAATAACTGTGGAAAGAAAGGTCATAACTCACTTAACAAATGTATTGCTTAGCAACAGAAATGTTGGGCTCAATTGTGGTCATAAGTTGAAGACTACTTGTATGCACACAGTAACTGTACACTCATACACTGTAGACAAATTGTGTTTTTTGAAAGTTTTGGACTGCAATTCTGTGGTGTCTTGTTTTTGATCATGCTAGGTAAGGCTGACATTGGAAAGTTAACAAAAGAATGGTAACTTGGTAAACACATATTCAGATGTAATATGTCCTCACGATTTGTCTAACTTTCTCCAACCTAGGTGCCTAATAGTGGTGTGGATCTCAACTTTCATAATGCTGCGCTAGCATGGTTGTCATTAATGACACCTGTGTCCATATATCTGAGGCTTGTGGAAAGGTTGCATAAAGTGTACTTACAAAACTGTAAATTAATGCAGAAAGCAGACTTTGCTTTTATTCACTGCTTCAGTATATTTTTATTGTCTTCAGCCCTGTAGCTGAATTCATTAGTGATGTAATTAACAACTCCTTTTTCCTCCTTTCAGCTGACTGGCTGCCTCTAGATATTATCAATCACCATCCAATTTAGATCTGTTTGGTTTCTTTAGTAGCATTCAGTATTTCTAGCCACTTGGGCACTACCAGATCTTGGGCGACTTCAGTCGAAAACCAACTACTTTTCTATAGATTTCATTTGATCTACAAATAAGTTAGCACTCTAAGAAATATAGGCTGCAAAGCTATTTATTTATTTATCACATTTAGAAAATGAATCATACAAAACTATGAATAGAAGCAAAAGAAATGCTAGGTTTTTAAAAATATATCTTTTTTAAAGTACACATTGACGTTCAAGAACATTTCAGGAGAGCTCTGCTGTTAATCTATTTAAGATATGAACAAGAATGTTAGATTCTTGAGATGTGTTTCACAAAAACAAACCCACCCTATTCTCCCAAACTGTTGTAGTTTCAGTTTGACTTTAGTGCCACTACTAAGTATTTGGTAGCTGTACTAATGAAGCTGTACAATGCAGCTTTTAGCTGTACTGTCTTGGGCTTCTGAGCTGTTCTTTCCTATTTTCACTGAGTATTCCCTGAAAATTCTGCAGAGCAAATTCATTCTAATTTTCTTTAGAAAAATTAAATCATCCATTTTCTTATAGGAGACACCTGCTAATACTACCATTTTCCTTGCTTTTAAAAAGGAATGGGGAATGATTCAGCTTCTGAGCAATTCAGTCTCAATTTGGTGGCCTCTTGCATACAAAAATGTTTCTGCCCCAAAGCTAAGTGGTCCTTCTAATGAAACTGACTTTATAGGGCATTTAAAATGACTTCTGTTGAATTGCAGCATCCCAATAAATCCCAAATGATTGCATTTTACTGTGTGTACAAGGCTTATGTACATCTTGTACAACAGTAAATATATTTTTGACAAACATGATGCAATAAGATATTTATTACATTAAATGATTTTACAAGAAGCACTAATGTACAACAAATTTCACTTTATATACAATGTACTTACTCCTGAGAGGAGCTGCCCCTGAGAACAAGAGGTGGAACGGGACAATATATAATGCTAAGTTGAAGGGCAGCATAATAAGACTTTGATTGAAAATGGAAAGTTAGTTCTTTGAATTAAACTCTTCAACTAATAAAACAAAAAGTTCAGGATACATCTCTCCTCTGTTTAGATTAACATTTCTTGCCATCATGCCTAAAAATGTCCAGGTTTCTCTCCATAGTATGTTTATTCTACTGTGTCAAGAGGAATTATCATTTCTCTGGAAAAAATAAGAATATCTCCTAAAAGCATTGCAGGAATCTGGCAATGTGTTTTATATCACTATATTGTAGCATCACCTTTGGAGAAGCAAGTTTTTCATCCCTCAGTGATCTTTCCATGTAAACTGGGTCCTGTGCCTATCTCCGTAACAGTCAAGCACCCATTAATATCAATGAAAACAGCCTCTTAGATCTTTCTTTCTTCAGATCTTCAGAGATGCCTGCAAAACTTTTAAAAAGAGCACTTAACAGTTTTTGGGGCCAGAGAAATAAAATATGGGAGATGTTTTAAAGACATTTTTAAAAGAAAAAAAACCCTGATATTTCCAGGAGGTAGAGCACAAAACTTGATGAAATATCGCTGCAGGTGATGTGCCATCTTCTTGCATATGAAGGGGGAAGAGAACTTGAACAAGAAAATGGTAGCCATGACTAATGTTTTATTGCCTGACTTCTTCATTGCTTTCAGGATATGAAGGTGTCTCAGAGTTTTTCACTGACCTCCTGAACCACATAGCTACCACCCTGCAGGAGCAAACTCCAGAGTTGTCCCAGCTGAACCATAACAAATTCCTGGCAGAGCAGAGCAGCAACCTCGTGGGGGAGCGGACGTGCTGTGCTAACACTGGCTGCCGGAGCATGGCAAGCCAAGACCCTTGGATTGTGGAGAACGAGACCAACAACTCAGTCAAGCTGCAGCACCAGAGGCTGGGCTGTAACTCATCCATGTCACCGAGCTTTCAGCAGCATTGTGTGGCCACGTTGGCCACAAAAGCTTCCTCTCAATGATCCGTATGTGTGCCACAGACTGAGAAAGAAAGCAGTCAGTCCCTGGGCTGTAAATTCAATGTAATTTTTTCAAAGAAAATGAATTTAGTGATATGGGTCCACTTTAACAGATTCCTCTTATAGTTCTATAGTGAGTTTTATCCATCCATGTATGGGTGCCCGTTGTGTGCATGTATCTTAAACACTATATCTTAATGTGGGAGAATGGATTTGTGTTTTTTCCCCCATGCCTTTTCCTTTTCTTTGTAATCATCAACCAGAGTTGGGTGATGAATCATGCTGGATTGATACGAATTTGTGTTGAAAATTTGCACACTTGGATTCGACCCCTTTCCATCTTTTTTCCAGCCCATTCCAAAGAGTAAAACATGCATTGATTGTACACCTAAATCCAGAGGAAACCTACATACCCCAGGATCAGCATTTTACTTCTTTGTGGAACACTTTGAAGCGAGAAACTGCTTCAGATAGTTTCCCATTTTCCTAAAGAAGAATAATGCCTGGGTATTTGTTTGCTATTCTGAAAAATTATAGGTTGATGTAATACTGCCCTTAATCTCATTTGGGGGCAGAGGACTTCCTAATAGTTGGAGGATTACCACATCTAACATCAGAACAAGCTAGGGAGTTTGGCTTTTTTCTGCTGCTTTACTGATCCTGAGATAAAAGAACACCTCTTTCATGTATTTATTAACTGATAAGGTGGCTTATTTTTAGCTTGGTATGATGCACAGATCCATTCACTGTGATTTATAAATCATAGTTTCTTTGTTAGGGTGGGCTTGTGCATCATATTAAACAAGAAACTCAAATTGTGGATTAGCATTACATGAGATATAGGGGACCTGTTTGTAAGCACCATTCTGCACAAGTATTTTTCCTTAGTGGTGGGTAGAAGTAAAAGTAACTTTTTAAAGTAAATCAGTAGCAATTTGTCTCCATTTCTGGTCTATCATTTGTGGGGTTGAACATTTGAGATACAGTATAAGGGTAATATTTATCTAACCTGTAATTCAGTCTGGTTATATTTTAAGAACAAGTAACAAAACAACAGTGCATCTTTAACTCTGTTTCTTTTAACACAACATCATCTTTGTGCAGCTTTGAACTGTCATGAATTTAAAAAGGTACTGTGAATGAGTTTTGGGACTTAATCTGAGACAATCTTTAAATTGTCTCAGGAAACGTTAAAATATTTTACATATTTAGATACATTTGGAAAGATTGATCATCATGAAAGGGATCTATGGACTAATTCACACTCAGGTAATAGTGTGAATGTATACGACATACATGCTACAAATTGTACACATGAATCCCAATTTTTAAAAGGATAATATATTGGTAATATTTGCATACAGGCAACATTATATGTTTTTTGTTGGATTAAAGAAAGTTTGAATTCTAAGATTCTCTCAGTTCCTGTAAGGATGACCCATTTTTTTAATATGTATGAACTGATATTAATATATTTTCCTCCGCTGATGGCAGCTGTTTATTTGTTTCTTGTTTTTAGAGTAAGAGAAAAAATGAAAATATCTGATGAAATATGAAAGGGGGGTTAAAAAGGGAGGACCAGAAATGATTCCAAACTACAGTGTAAGTGCAGGAAATTGTTCAAGAATTAACAGGAAGGAGACTTTGTGGTTTTGTTTCTAAAATTCTCATAATTCTTCAGTAGATATTGACTATAGATAGCTGAAGAGAAGACAATATTATATGAGACTATACGGTCATTTTGTTTATTTCTAATTCAAATTAGAGTCATACTATGATCCTGAATTATTGTCTTTCTCAATAATAACAGTTGCTGCAGTTTCCCAATAAATTATTGAAATTTGTTCATGCATATTTTACATACCTTTGGTGGGAGTGAAAAATAGGCCATACATATTTTCATAAAACATTTTTTTTCCAGTATAGCAACACTATTAAAAGTTACTGATACTTTTAAAATGATTGGATTTTAACATCACACACACACACACCAAGCCAAAATTGTCCTGATGAAAGACACCTTTGAACATAGCTAAGTCTCTCCCTTCTCTGTAACTTTAATTAAGACAAGAGTATTTCATTGCTATACTGAGCATTGCCATCCTCCCCCTCCCAAAAAATACTACCTCCTTGATTGCTGCTTGTATGGATCAAGAAACTAGTAATTTGCAACAGGATTCAAACCATCTTGTTTTATTATACAGCTGTGGGAGAGCCAAGGAAAGAGGCATAATAGGTTAGTTCTTCTGGCATGTCCTTCAGAGAACAAGCAGTACCATTATCTGATTCAGAGGGGTAATTTGACAATATTTTTAATTTTAAGAAAAAACTCCCCCACATCACTATCATTGTGTAAATAATGGTGATGTAGGGTTTTATTTTTTTCTTAAAATTTCTTAACTTCTTAAAATAAATTTCAGTTCTGAGGTGAGCAACCTAGGAAAACATGTTTCATCTGGTTTAGTTAGAAGACATTTCAAAATTGTTGATCAGCTTGGACTACGGTATTTGATCCAGTTTAAATATATTTCTGCTATTTCCTATCTTTAATGAAGAGTAAGAATTTCTTTTAATGGCTGCCTTCTAAATTTGGGTTAGCCTATTTTGCACTGTTTTATTTCTCCAAAATAAACTACTGATACATAATTGTACATTTTATATTTATTTACAAATGATATATTTCGTAAATTCTCCAAAGTCTTAATACAGAGTATATCTGATAAAAGTGCAGTTCATATCTTGACTTTAACTAGAATCTAATTTAATTATGTAGCCAAATAGGTTGTCAGCTTCGTTGATCCCTTGATGTAACTGCTGCTTATTTAAACAAAGACAAAGTTGTTCATATCTTAAGATGGCATTGCAAGTGTGCTGGCCAGCAGACAGTTTGTAATCCTTTCTGTGATTTTTTTTCTATCAGACTTTTTTGTGTGGAATAAAATATGAATAATATTGTCAGGTTGCAGAGAGAGCACAGTATGCTGTTACATTACAGAGCAATGAGCATATGGTACTAAAAAATGAGTGCAAAATCAATTATTTCATCTCTGTTTTGTTGCAGCAAGTTTGTTGAACTCTTTTTCAGTCTAGATACGCTGCCATGTGTTCGTCCCTAAGGTTGGTTTTATGTGAGAACTGAAATGTGCCGAACAGCCTCACATTTGTCATGGAGATTGAAGAGAAATGTGTCTTTCTTTTTTCTTCTGGAAAGCTCTGGGAGAGGAGGGTTGTAGTTTTGTTATATGATGCCAATTTTTGTTTCAACCTGAAAGGCCAAGCTCTACTTTTGAGGGTTTGTTGAGTAATAGCAAAAATGTTGCCAATGCATGTAGGTCGCAAAAGAAGCATTACTGATGTTGTTAAATATTGAAGGACAATTAAAGTAGACGGGCTTAAATGCGCCCACACGGCATTCATGTTTAATTTGTTTAAGAAAGTGTAACTATCCAAACTGCATCTCTACTTGTGGCAGGAAAATAAGAAGCAACTTTTTAAACATTTCCCCCTGCTTTCCAGTATATACATTACAAATAATCTTTTGTGCCTCTCATTAGAATGTTTCTTTGTATAAAGCATATTTTCAGTAATATACTTTAAATCTCTGCCAGAAACCAGTCCGTCTTCCTTATTATAGAAATAAGTGTTTGGATGTAAAATTCCATAAAAAATCTTAATGTGATTAAAAAGAACTAAAAATGTAAAACCTTAGTAGACCTGAGTTATCACATTCTATTCAAAATCCGAGGAAGATTACAATCTAGATTTATGTGAGTGAATAATATCTGCTCCATTGCTAGATTACCCAAACTATAAAATAGGAAATAGTTGGTACTGAAAATGGTTACATTTAAAAATTTTACTCTCCAACAAATATACTTTTTATATCATAAATAATCTAAAGGTCATATTAAAAAAGAGTTTATACCTCTTTTCAAGTTAATTTCAAAATATGGTAATTGATTACATTTTATATATGCTGTTGTTCTTTTGCTTTATGTAATCAGTTATAAATGGTAATTAATTTAATAAATACTGGAAATCTGGTTTTTTTTAAACTTAAACTAAGAAATTAACTAGAATTATTACATAATTCATAATTCTGATGTTACATAATGTCAGAAAAAAACGTGCTTTGCTTGAGTAACAATTATTTTTTAGACATGTAGTATACAATTCTCTGCTCTTAGATAAGTATATCTCAGGCTTTTTTTTTATTGCATCTGGAGAAGCAGATCGAGATTTTTCTGAATCAGCAAGCCTCTTATCATCAGCAAGGGTTGATTGGCAGCTTCCCTTCCATGCCTGATAACTCAGAAGTGCAGATTACTATAGGTTGTTCTGAACACCTTATAGGTCTTTTCACAGAGTGCTTATATCATGCTCAGTTCTCCTGCTAGCCTGTTCTCATTTGATACCAGTGTGTGAGCTGGCAAGAGCTAACAGGTACAACATGACGTGGCAGACGCCTATGGATTGAGTTTGGTCTCCCAAGAATAAAGTCATGCTGTTTTCAGAAGCACTAGGTTTGTGTTTTGACATCAGTTTTTAAATCCCCTTTTTTTCTAGAAAAGGGTTTTGAGCCACTTTCACGGGGAATGTAATGCAGTAACAATTGATGTCCCAGTGGTATGCAAAGGGAATAGACATTCCTTGCTTTTTGTCCTCAAAATATGCTATGGTAGCCTGTCTTAAGAAAATTATTCATGGCACTGAGCTATACCTATGAAGAAAGAATGTTGGACCTACAATACCAGGATACTATTTTTTGTTGTTTTTGGTGACTTCATATAACTGTTTACTCCCTTCTATTCTTAGTTTCTCCCTCCTGTTTCCATCCATATAAATATGAATGAGTTACTTGATTTGCTGCCTACAGAATGTTTTCTTTTTGAACCCATTATATGTAAAGTTGGTGTTCAAGAAGAAACACATTTTCTTTATAAAAGGACTTCCTCTTTTGAGACATTGTAATCTCCCATTTTTATAAGTACTGGGTTTTTTTAAGTGTATCAAAATTAAAATTTTCCTAATATAATTCAGTCTGTCAGAATATGTAATTGACCATTGATTCAGTTCAATCTTACTGCTGTAATATTAAAAAATCACTTTTCCTGATAAATATGGTCCTTGTAAGGGCAAGAATTACCTATGATTGTGTCGAAGAAATTGAGTGCTAATTTTTTCAGAGGCTCTTTATATTTCTTTACTAAATATTTTCTTCTTGAATTTTTGGAATTGTGTTTCAAAATAGCAAATCAGTATAAACCAATAACAAAGAAGCATTCATTCCTCAGTATCTCAATACAGTTAGCTAACACATCTTATTTAAGAATGTCTTTATAAAAATATTACTCTGTATGCAGTTGGGACTAAGAATATACAAGAAGAGGAGAAAGTTGTTCCTGGACTTATGGAATACTAAATTCAATTCAAGTTTTCAGAATTAAAACTGCAGTGTGATTATAGTGAAGAATTCAATTAGTACAAACTCACCTGCAGTCTGAAGTAGTATGGTCAAGGAACATATTTATTTGCTAGGTTCAAAGGGCCAATTGGTATTTTGTAATACAAGTTTCCTTTAGTCAAATCCACTTTTGTAAATTGCATCTATTTTCCTTGTGATCTATTTTGTTTAATCTTATTTTAACAGGTCATAATCAAACAATTTACTTTTAATGAAAAATTGAGACATAAATGCGCTGTTAGATTTTACTTTAAAAGACACTACCAAAATATATGTTGTAATGAATAACGATATTGGGTGCAGAAGGAGACTTGTTTGCAAGTAGTTAATGGCCCATTGGCACTTGTATCTTTCAACATTTGCCCTGCAACACCCTAGTGTATTGTTTAGTAAGTGAAAGGACTCATATTTAAAAACTGCAAATATGTAAGTATAAAAATAGTCACATCTATATTTAAGATTGTATGCACTCTTAAATAATAGGGATTCTTTATCACCCTTATGAAAAAAGAGTGCAGTAAAATATGGGATGTATTTTTCCCCAGTTCTTTAGATTTCTTCCTTGGTGTTTTCATATAACTCATATGTCTCCTTCTGTGTTCAATTCCAGTCAATGTCCCAGTGAATTGGACTCATCTCTATGCTAATATGGATTGTACATCTTTTCCTTCTTTTTTTACCTCTTTACCTCTTCCCTTTCCCTTTTTATTTTTTTGGATGGGACAGATTTTGTGGAAAGTTTACAAAAATTTAAGGCATGCTTAAGCATTTTATCAGTGCAAAGTTGAAGTTATCTTGGACCATTTCTTTATTATGTCACGTTTGAATTAAGGATATTAATGCTGTCTTCTGCTATTTTAGATAGTGTTATAGCAAGTGTGAGTGTTGTGATTTGCTTTGGCCCTGTTCACAAAATTATTTTCATAAAATTAAATTCTTTCATATTTAGAGTGTGTGTATACACCAATACACACATGTATATTTATACATATAAATATATATAATTTCATTTTTTAAATAGCTCTATATAAAACCAAAAATATTAGTACCTTGGCTGTTTACTTCTAGTGCATGACTGACGTCCTGAATAATCACATGGTGCTTCTCTTGCTTAAATCATTGATTTCCATTATTTTTTTCTTATTTTCTCCTTATTTGCCAAACACTTGTGACAAATATTTTACTATTTTAACCATAGAGTTAAAATGCACTTAAATCTCCTCTGTTGTTTCAATGTCTGCTTCAGGGAGAAAACTCCATTTTCCAAAAACATGATTAAAATAAATGCCTTATACAAAACCTCATTCTGTGTTCTGGTTAATGACTGAAGTATTGTATATCTGAATTTATTGATGCACCTTTGTATAACTAAATTATGTATATTCTGAGAGAATGTAACATGGCATGAATTTACACTGATCAAAAAAATAAAGGGAACACAAAAATAAGACATCCTAGATCTGAATAAATGAAATATTCTTATTAAATACTTTGTTCATTAAATAGTTGAATGTGCTGACAACAAAATCACACAAAAATTATCAATGGAAATCAAATTTAGCAACCCATGGAGGTCTGGATTTGGAGTTACACTCAAAATTAAAGTGGGAAAAAACACTATAGGCTGATCCAATGTTGATGTAATGTCCTTAAAACAAGTCAAAATGAGGCTCAGTAGTGTGTGTGGCCTCCACGTGCCTGTATGACCTCCCTACAACGCCTGGGCATGCTCCTGATGAGGTGGCGGATGGTCTCCTGAGGGATCTCCTCCCACACCTGGACTAAAGCATCCCCCAACACCTGGACAGTCTGTGGTGCAACGTGGCATTGGTGGATGGAGCGAGACATGATGTCCCAGATGTGCTCAATTGGATTCAGGTCTGGGGAACGGGCGGGCCAATCCATAGCATCAATGCCTTCATCTTGCAGGAACTGCTGACACACTCCAGCCACATGAGGTCTAGCATTATCTTGCATTAGGAGGACCCCAGGGCCAACCGCACCAGCATATGGTCTCACAAGAGGTCTGCAGATCTCATCTCGGTACCTAATGGCAGTCAGGCTACCTCTGGCAAGAACATGGAGGGCTGTGCAGCCCCCTAAAGAAATGCCACCCTGCACCATTACTGACCCACTGCCAAACCAGTCATGCTGTAGGATGTTGCAGGCAGCAAAACGTTCTCCATGGTGTCTCCAGACCCTGTCACATCTGTCACGTGCTCAGTGTGAACCTGCTTTCATCTGTGAAGAGCACAGGGTGCCAGTGGCAAATTTGCCAATTTTGGTGTTCTCTGGCAAATGCCAAACGTCCTGCGCGATGTTGGGCTGTAAGCACAACCCCCACCTGTGGATGTCGGGCCCTCATACCACCCTCATGGAGTCTGTTTCTGACTGTTTGAGCAGCCACACGCACATTTGTGGCCCTCTGGAGGTGATTTTGCAGGGCTCTGGCAGTGCTCCTCCTGTCCCTCCTTGCACAAAGGCAGAGGTAGTGGTCCTGATGCTGGGTTGTTGCCTTCCTATGGCCTCCTCCACGTCTCCTGATGTACTGGCCTGTCTCCTGGTAGCGCCTCCATGCTCCGGACACTACGCTGACAGACACAGCAAACCTTCTTGCCACAGCTCGCATTGATGTGCCATCCTGGATGAGCTGCATTACCTGAGCCACTTGTGTGGGTTGTAGACTCCGTCTCATGCTACCACTAGAGTGAAAATACTGCCAGCATTCAAAAGTGACCAGACCATCAGCCAGAAAACAGGAACTGAGAAGTGGTCTGTGGTCACCACCTGCAGAACCACTCCTTTATTGGGGATGTCTTGCTAGCTGCCTGTGCTTTCCACCTGTTGTCTATTCCATTTGCACAACAGCATGTGAAATTGATTGTCAATCAGTGTTGCTACCTAAGTGGACAGTTTGATTTCACAGAAGTGTGATTGACTTGGAGTTACATTGTGTTGTTTAAGTGTTCCCTTTATTTTTTTGAGCAGTGTATTAAACTTTGGCACCAAGCACTTATTTCCATTTCAGTAAGATCAGGCTTTCTAACCCTATAGTCCCTGCTTCATGTACTCCAAAAATCTCACACCAAAAAAAGTTGTCTTCTTCATCTGCTAGTTTATTTTTATCGGGTGCCAGAAATGTAGTCTCTAACTTTTTTGCTTGGCAATATAATTTCCTAGATTTGTAGGGAGACACAGTTCAAATCAGCTTTGGGCAAGGTACCATATTAAAAATGAATGAAAATGATCAAAAATGGCTTGGTATACCTCCACAGCTACATGAATACCCTTGAAGACCCCACCCATAAAGCTAATTGAAATCCTGGGAGAAAAACCAAGTCTTGAGAGCTTTTTGAGGGTAGCATCAGTGCCAGAGAAATCATAGTTCCAGGGTCCCATTGGTTGACATGGTTCCAGGATCCCACTGGTCCCAACATAACCTGGGCATGCCAATTCCATCAGATCAGATGGAAAGGATTAACACTGGGAGATAATCCTTCAAGTAGCTAATAGCTAGGCCTAATGCTGTGGAGGTTTTAAAAGTAATAATCAGCTCCTTGAATTACACTTGAAAGCCTTTTGTTAAACCCAGTGCATCTCCCAATTCAAAGATGTTAGCTGGATATACTGAAGCATACCAGTAACTACCCAAGTTGCTGCATTCTGGATCAACTGCAACTTCTGAGGTATTCAAGATCAATATTGTATAAAAGCATTTTACAATAATCCATGTGTGAAGTGACCAAAGCACTTGTGGTCAAAAGAGTACAATTAAAATAAAGGTGGATGTATGTAAATGCCTTTTTTTGTCCAGAGCTATCTCCTGTTTTCCAAGCAGAAGTTGCAGGTTCAAAAGACCTTCAAATTGGTCACTAGCCCGAAGTGAGGTAATACAACCTAGGTGGTGGTTATGTTTGTGATTGTATTTTGGATGTTGTGAGCTGCCCCAGAATCTTTTTCAAGGGGCAACTCTTAAGAAATCTAAATCCCCATTCATCAATTCTAGGAGGCCCAAATATCCATAGCCATTTAGTGTTATTAACCCATCCAGACCCTCATGGCCTCCAGGCACTGGGACAGCTGATTGACAGTACTATCAAAATGACCTATCCCAATGATGAATACTATGGTCTTCATATACTCCTTCACTTGGTTGGCACAGTTGATCTGCGATTGTAAAATAGCTTATTAAAAAGTTACACTTTAGGAATGGACATTGGTTTTGATTTTTGTCTTTCTGTTTCTTCCTCTCAATTCAGTGGATTGCTAAAAGAAAAGTTTCAGTTTCTATAGCAGAGGTGGCTACAAATCATTTGAAGAGGCAATTTGAAAAGTTATTGAAGCTTATTGAAGTTATTAAGCCAATGGCTGCAAATTGCCCACCCTGCTTTTAGAAAGTACAACTCTCCTTGTTACCCTGTACACAGGCCAGGTTCATTCACTGTACTGAGCTATTTTTTAAAAACCTACTTTACAAAACGATTAGATTTATTCAACAAACTAGGGGAATTGTGTGTGAATCTATATCTATACACAGAATCCAGAATTGGCACTTTAATCATTGCACTGTCTTGAGTTTTTGCAAAAATGTTATCCAAAAGTACATTAGATTGCAGCTGAAATAGACAAAGAAGGGAGACCAAGATTGTGTCTTTATTTTTCTCCTTAGTTTTTATATAGAATATATTGCAGTCAAGAGTGCTAACTTTAAATCAGAAGGTTAACAAGTTATTGCAAGTAATTTTATCCAGGAAATCTAATGGGAGAAATAATTCTATAAAGCTTATAATAAAGGGAAAAGAGGAGGGGAAAAGAAATAACAGGAGAAGAAATTATAAACCAATCTTTTTTTTTTTTTGCAATAGAGAATACGTGAGTTAAGTCATACTGCTTGTTATGCAGTAATCCAAACATTACAAAATAAAATGATTATTAAAGCAAGCAGAAAGCAAATAAGTAAATTATGACAAAAAGCAAGAAACCATCACAACTAGAAAAAAAAGAAATTATTTTTTTTTTGTTGTAATACAGGTTTTTGCAAAAAAAAAAATCACCTCCATTATTACTTTATTGTTTAAAATAAAATGCAGTGTTCGAAACAGTGGTTCAACATTTCTGGCATCTTGCTCCCGTCTTATGGTGCATCAACCTCTTCTCAGAGCATGGAGCTTGCGGGCAACTTTCTCCAGTTCCGCTTCAATTGCAGCTAAGCTTTCCAGTTCTTGGTCCTAAAAGAAAAAAAAAAGTTCAATGATGCAAATCATTAAAGCAAAATGATGTAGTCAGTTTACTGTCAATCTCCATCCATGTACTAAGCAATGGATTCAAAACTAACTGTTGGGAATTCAGGCAATGTTGGCTAGATGTATTTATAAAGTTGATTTCTATCAAGTCAGAGTAAGGATCTGTCTTCCTCCAATTTAGTACTCTGCAGATGTTTTGGAATATAATTCTCTTAGATCGACAGTCAAATTCACGTCCTGTATCAATTAGCCTATATCAAAAGCCAGGAGGGGGTATATCTGATACAGGTTCTACTTTAAGGAAGACTGGTCTGTACTATCTGGCAATAGTTCCCCAAATTCCCAAGAAAATCTATCAGCCTAACCTAAAATAGCTAACTGAACCTCAACTTTCAGTGCCTACTATGATTCTTCTCTGGCTTCATTCCTAGGATATTCTACCATTCTGGATATTGGAAGGGCACAGCCTGCAGCAAAAAGTGATTCCATGGAGCCAAGCAGAAGAATATTCACAAGCTCCTGCCTGCTAAATTCAGTACATAAGATAAAGCTATAAGAAAAAGACAATTTAGATTTTCCCGAGGCCAAAAAGAATTCATGGTTGTGAAATATAGTACTTCATGAATAATTATGACTGAGTTACTATCTTTAGTAGCCCAACTATTGTTTTTGCATGAATTCATGTACATGTTTAAATAGATGTGCCCCATCATATTTCTTTTTCCTCCCATCCATACAGTCAGGGGTATCCAAAGAAGTATGGAGCGATGAGGGGAGGGGAATTCCCTCTTCCTTTTTCTCCTTGTACTCAGCTGATGGCAGAGTTTTCTTCTACAGGTACCTGAGCAACTGTTGCCAAGGTTATTTTGTTGATTCCCTGATGCATTGTTATTGCAAAACCTATGCTAGAAAGGTGAAAACAAGCCAAAATAGTTAGAATGGAAAAAAAGAAATAATCACCTGGTTATGTGATTCATTAAGTGGGCTTATTTTGTTTTGGGTACAAAGCTCTACAACTACAGAGCACCAAAGGAGAACTAGAAAAGTGGGGAGCAATCCTTTATAAGTTGTCTTGAGTAAAATGAGCTCTATTGAAATAACTGCCACCTGTTCCTTTTCCATCTTTAAATAACAGCATGATCGTGATGTTGCTCTGTTACTGACTAGAGCAAGCTGGATATCTTCCCTAATAATTTTCACTAAATTATATAATAGGTGGAATCACCTGAAGAGTCTTTTTATCAAGAGGTGGAGATACAATTAAACCAGCCCATATATAGTATATACATACGAAGCCACTGTTCAGCTCATACAATGCACATCAGCCCTGCCCACACTAGTATTTATGTGAAGGAGCTGGTATTAAATAGAGAACTGAACAAACAGTGGAAGGTGCTAGAGATGGGGTAGAGAGAGAGGGGGGGGGGAGTGGGAAAGAAAGAGGGAGGTGTATTCTGATATAAATCACTTAATTGACCTACTGCCAGTATGTCAGGGGCTCCACCTCCACTCTGTGGATCAGCACCGATCCATGGCATGCCAGCAACTGGGCTGTGCAAACAAGTGAAGGGATGCAGGCAGCGTGCAAAACCATGCCCCCTCCAGGTCACAGAAAAACCTGCCTCCACAGAACCAGTCCCTGGTGCCCAAAAGGTTGTTGTTGGCTTCTTTGTAATAAAAGGGGGAAAGCAGGCAAACATCTCCTGCCTTCTTTAAGGCAGCAAGCTACCTTCAGTCAGCCTGATGTAGAGGATAGTATTTCAAGCAGTTGACTTGTCAACAGGGGTGAGTAATTTTAGTTCACTCCCTAAAAATACTTATGAGCACCTGAGGCCATAACAATTTTGCCAAATTGCCAAATAGGGATATTATTTATTTCAGTCTTTGGGTTGAAGCTGTAACCAAAAGGCAAAGGGCTGTCAAGCACTGGGAAAATCAGCAGATTCAGGCAGTTCAAACAATTATTGCAAGCTTAATTCTGTACAAGAATCTGGCTAAGTGACCATTATGGGCATGCACAGGAGTTAAGCAAGGAATTCAAGGTGGGCTGGACTTAGATCTTTTGCGGGTATAGAGGGACTCCTCACTTATGACACATTTGACCCCTCCCACAGGCTCAGCCTGGTCATCTCTTACAAGGGCTTTTGGAAATATATTTGAAGATTATTCAGATTCAAACATTTTAATGGAATGATCTCAAAGATCTCTCGCTTTTGAATCCAGCTCTTTGACCTGAGCAGCTTTGAAATATCCCATGTAATCACTGAAATTTAGGACATATAAGGAATACATGCTGGGATGACTTTTATTACAACTTTCCTTATCTCTCTTATTACAGGTATGTAAAAAGAGGACTTGGACTGTTATAAGAACTGTGAACTTGAGTCCAGAGATAATCATGTCACATTACAATCACTCTCTAGGCATAATAAACCCACTTAAAACATTCAGGATATTTCATATAAAACAATTATATTAGATAACATTTACCTCTAAAGATACAATAAAAAGACTGCCTACATCCATCTCAGCTCACATAATGAGCTAAGTAGCAGTCACAAGATGACAATTATATGCATATACAAACGGGGTGTCATGTCACAACTAACATCTTGCCTATTTTGAAACCTCCAATGCACATCACTGTGGAAAGCTTATAAAACACAACCTTACAATTTGGAAAAGACAGAAGAGAAGAGGAAAGCCTGAAATAGCTTGAAACAGTGCAGAAAAGTTGCCCTGCATTTCCCCGTATCAATTCTCATTTGACTTGGTTTACAACTTCTTTCAGAAGGGGAATTAATTTCTCTGAATTTCTTATGGAAGGGGTATGGTGGTCTTGCCCTAGTTTACTTAAGAAGTGGTCAAATGTGGTATGTGAATGGCTGGTCTTTTGCTGCCAGCATTTCTGCAGCAGCTGGCAGCCTCTCTGGTTTTCCCATCTTCTACTATCCGCTATCTCTGACTAGAAAAGAAGCTCAAAATTTCCAACAAGAGAAATTCTCAAGCATTCTGCTGGCTTTTGACACTTTATTCAAAACATGGTTTCTACAAGAATTTGTCAACCTACTTCGGTCCTCCTGTTTGCACTTCCTTCTTCATCCTTTTTTTCTTCAGGTATGGGAAGAAGTGGAAAACCTTGTTCACTGTCCTCTTTTGAATGATGCTTCTGCAGCCTCCTTGCTTCCTCTTCTGGGGAGTCATGGAAGTCACCTGTGTTGTGGGATTTGAAAGCCATTTTCATGGATCTATCTGGATCTTCATCACTTTCATTCTCCCCTGCACGCTTTGTAGTAGTCAGTTGTTTGGCCAGTTCATCCATCTTGTTCCATCTCTTAGCATCTTCTACATCTTGGAAAGGGTTTTTTTCCATCTCTTGACTTTTGGAATCGCTGTCATGGGAGGAGTCATCATTCTGCCTTGTTCCATCTAGAAAACGATGCCCTCTACTTTTCACACTATGATATTTATCTGTATCTTCTGAGATATTTTTGTCATCATCTTGATTATCTATAAGGAAAACAGAACTAGATGTAAATCATTTGTTTTCTTTTCTTTCAGAAGTTATATTTTGTTGCTATCAATAAGACGAAGAAAGCTGATTTAAAGCCTTGTCAAATGGTTATCTAAAATACAAGGTATCACCTTTGCAGAGTATGTGAAATGGTCCTTTATCATAAAATTGATCAATCATCTGGTGCTGTGTCAGAAGAGAAGCCATTTTCCATCAATAAATACACACACACACACACACACACACTTATTTGTTTTTTATTTATTTATTTGGTTTGTCAATTGCTTACAAGATAATAGGTATAGGTAAAAACATAGTTATAAATATATGGATACATATAAGAAAAATAAAAAAACAAACAATAGGACAGGGACAGTAGGCACATTGGTGCACTTATGCACGCCCCCTACAGACCTCTTAGGAAAGGGGTGAGGTCAATAGTAGACAGTCTATGGTTAAATTTTTTGGGGTTGTGGAAGAAACCACAGAGTCAGGTAGAGTATTCCAGACATTGGCCACTCTGTTGCTGAAGTCGTATTTCCTGCAATCAAGTTTGATGCGATTAACCTTGAGTTAATATTTCTTAACCTGGAATGAGATTTGGTGCACTGAGCCCAGCTTACTAAATTAATTACTCTTTCAGTGGGGCAGCAAATGATGCTGAATCCTAACCATCTTCTGTGTAACTTGCTTTGTTATACATAGATGTTGTAAAATCAATTAGGATCTCAGTATGCACAAGTGGTTATTTCAATTAGCCGTTGCAATAGCAATACCATTTAGACTTATATACCACTTCATTGTGCTTTACAGCCATTTTTAAGTGGTTTACAGAGTCACATATTGCCCCCAACAATCCGGGTCCTCATTTTATCAACCTCAAGGATGGAAGGCTGAGTCAAAGTTGAGTTGGTGAGAATCGAACTACTGGCAGCTGGGAGAATTAGCCTGCAATACAGCATTCTATTCACTGTACCACCACAATACTTTTTCTAAGGATTGCATATCCTAATCACATGGCAACTGCCCCCAATCATATGCATCTGAGTATCCTGGACTACAACTCTCAATCAACGTGAACAATTGCTATACCTCTGTGAGCTTTCTATCAGCTTTGAATTGTTTCATTTGTTTGCCCAGGATTGGAGATTTTTAACCACTATAATTTAGACTTTAGTAAATTGCAGAAATGACTCTAGTATTATAATATCTACTCCATGCTTAGAAATGTAGCTGATACAAAATATTTTCATATAGTTTACTCCATATGTGATATGTTGTAACCACTGGTTGCTAGTTAATTGATGATATTAACTTTTAAATTCCTAATGAGACCTATTCAACATAAGAAACCATTTCCATTCCCTTGACACCTGCTCCTGTCATTTACAATTAAGAGCTTACATAAAAGAAACAAGATCTTCTCAGTTGTCACCCCAGTACTTAGGAAAGCTGTTTCCTGCAGGGGTCAAATATGCTTCTCAAATAAGAACCTCTGTCTTCTCCAATTTGTTTCCTGCAGAAATGCTGGGTTGTAATTCTTATAATTTCCCAGTTATCATATCCATTTGCTGGAAATTGAAATCCTACACAACTGGAGTTGCTATATTATGAAAGGCTGAATTATTATTTGGAGAAGATTGGAGTATATCTAAGGCGACAGTTTTACTTGCTGGAGCTAGAAATAAATGTATGTAGGGATCATGTTTTTTTTACAAAATTCACAAAAATTGATGTCCAGCATATTCATGCAGTCAATCAAAATTCATTTATACTCCAAGGCCAAATGTAAGAAAAAGACTATCAATACAATATCTATAAAAAGGAATAAAAATCATGAGATAAATGATGAAATAATTAACAGTTGATATTCAATAGCATGAGGGAAGAACCAGATGGTTTGCAATAATCAGGGCTATTTATAAAAATTTTGCAATCTTTTTTGAGGTTTCTCAAGAGTGATCACCCAGAAGAAGGGTAATGGCCTCCAGGTTGCAATGACAGTTAGAATTGTGTATATGTATTAAGTTCAATCACCATTGACTGTAAAGTAGACATTTTAATAGCACATGTGAGGCAGATTCTAGCTCCAAGTCTGACCAAAACCAAGTTTGGTTTTCATATAGGAGACTTATATTATTTATTTGTATGTATGTTATTTATCAGATTTATACACCAATTCACCTAAGTGGCTCTAGGTCAGGGGTGTCAAACACATGGTGGCCTCACGTGACATGGGAATATTGGGATTTTTCCCCCCTTAGCTAAACCTGGCGTGGGTGTGGCCAGCATGTGACGCATCCAGCCCACCATTCTAGGTGGTCAACAAATAAAAGTCATACAGCCATATAAAAATATAGATAAGAACAAAGTTAAAAACCGTGTATAAATAATGTAAGTTAAAAACTGATGGAGCACCCTCAAGCCACCAACCAACTCCAGGGATTCATGTGGCAATAGCAAGAGCATTTAGGCTTATATACTTTCCATAGTGCTTTATTGCATTTTCTGGGTAGTTTGTAATGCAAAAACATTATTTTCATACTACCCCCCAACAAACTGGGTCCTCATTTTACCAACCTCAGAAAGATGGAAGGTTGAGTCAACCTGAAGCCCATTAGGATCAAACTCCAGTCTGTGGGTAGAGTTTGCCTGCAATACTACACCAGGGCTCTATCTACCAGATGTCGTCTTAATGGGTAGTGCCTCAATATGAGCCAAAGAAAACATACCATGAGGAATGTATAAAATACACTTAGGAACAGTCCTGGGAGAAGGGGAAATTATGCTGTAAAAGCGATTGGGAACATTGGCTCTATCATTTTGGATATCTAAATCCAGATCTTCTGCTTTAGTTAATTCCAAAACTAGTAGCGCTGGCAGGATAAGAGTGCAAAATGCGAAGTAATCATTAAGTTGTCATCTTAGCAGTAAGGAGAAGCTATCTAGCAAGAAAGTTCCCCAATAGATTTGCTTCAGGCAAAATCTAAAAGATAGCAAATATGGGTCCACCCCACATATTAAAAGTAGAGTTTGAGCCCAAACTGATAGACATACCATCTTCTCTTTGATCATCCACATTATCTGAATTGGTAGGATGTTGTTCTTCAGAAGCATTCCTCTCTTTCTCCTCTTCTTCATCCTTTTCTTCTTCCTCCTCTTCTTCCTTCTCAACTTGCTCTCTGACCTTGCCATCTTCTTCCTCCTTCGTTTCCTCCTGACTCTCTTTGAAAACATGCTCCTTCTCATCGTCAGATTCCTCTGTCCCTGCAACTTCTTCAACTTCCTGGTGTGTCTGCTTAAGTCCATCATCTTCCCTGATGTCATTGATGTGATTGTCTATTGTATCACTCCAAGGCAACCCTTCCACTTCATCAACCTCATTGCCCTCAAATCCTGCGATATTCTCCTTTTCATCATCAAGATCAACATCTCGAATCCTTGGGTCTCTCTCTTCCAAGCTATTCCTCTCCTCTTCTTTCAAAACATCCTGCTTATTCTGAAAAGACTTTTCTGCTTCCTGCTCAGCCAAAGAGGCCATTGGCTTCTCATTGTGGGTCCCCTCTGATGGATCTGAGGGTCAAAAATAGGAGAAACAAACAGAAGATGGATAGAAAGCCATATTAAAACAGAATTGCAAACTCCAAGTAAATCAATTCCACATGTTCTTTTGGACAACATTATATATTTCTTACCGGCTTTTATTTAACTAGAGAGCAGCGTGTTTTTCCCCCAATCTACTATTTCAAGATTGTATTTCATGCTTTAAAAGTAGATCAGACTACTCTAATTCTATTCCATTCATACATGAGTTTATTATCCTAATATCCTATCTATAAATTGGAGTAAATGAGACTCAATATCACTGGGTTTTAGCCATAATTTAGAAAAGTATAAGATCTGTTAAGTATAAGTTATATTCTTTGTTTTATCTTCTTTAAGGATTCCCGGGAAGATTTTTCAATGGATACTTTAGAAGTTATTCCCTGTTCTGATGCAAACAAAAGAATGTCCAGATAGAATTATTTTTAGAATACGGGATGAGATAAATATAACTGAAATGAATTCTTAAAGTCTCATTTTTCCAAAACTTTCACTTTGAAAAAAAGTATCCTGGGACTCTAGATTTTTTGCTACCACAGACTAACTTGTCTCTGCTCCTATAATTTCTTTAATTAAAATTATTAGTTCACTATAAATATAAAACTAGATTAATTCCCATCAACCCTCAAAATCTTCATGTGCATTGGCACATCAGAGAATTTGTTGTTTAGTCACTAAGTCACGTCCCATTCTTTGTAACCCCATGGACCACAGCATGCCCAACCCCCTATCCTCTGCTGACTCCCAGAAGTTGTCCAAATTCATGTTCATTGCGTCAATGACACTATCTAACCAATCAGAGGGTTACTGTTTGAAATGTAACTTAGGAAGGTAGAATAGCTCAGGTATTCGCACTTCCTTGTTCTGATAGAACAGAACAATAGAGTTGGAAGGGACCTTGGGAGCTGTTCCATACTAGCAGGCTTGTAGGCCTGCATTCCTATTGGTCCAGAAAAGCCGGGCCATGATTGGACAGAACTAAGCGTTCGGATTGGTTCTTATTCGGCTGCCGCGATTGGGTAAAACCAAGCGCGGCAAGCTCAAATGCATGTCATAGGCTGCCTAGCCGCAGCCAACTCTATAAAAGGAGCTGCCTCGGCTGGGAGTCTTGTCTCAGTATCTGGCTTCCTAATAAAGAGTTGTTGTCACTATTTCGAGTCTCGTCTCTCCTTGGGACCCACCGCCCAGACATAACAGGAGCCTTCTAGTCCAACACCCTGTTCAGGCAGGAAACCCTGTAACCAGGGGTGGGATGCAAATTTTTTTACTACCAGTTCTGTGGGCGTGGCCAGGTGGGAGTGGCTATGTGGGCATGGCCATATGGCCGGGTCAGAGTGGCTTCTTCTTTCTTTTTTTTTGCAGCACCACCTCCACACTCCGTTTTTCCCCTCCTGAGCCTCAGGGAAGCCTCCTGGGTGAAGCACTAAGACAGTGAGGGAGATCCTGGCACAGTTTTATCATCGGAACAGCTGATCGTCGGGAGGAGAAAAAAAATACCATCAGGAGTGATGGAGTATGGCAGGGTGGGCAGCGGAGAATGCAGTCAGTGATGTTGTGCATGCGCGATAAGGACTGACTGGGTAGGGAGGGGAGGGGTGTGGGTGGAGAGGGGTGGAGCCAGGCAGGGGCACAATTTTCCGGTTCTACGAACTGCGTAGAATAATAACAACTGGTTCTACCAAACCTGTCCGAACCGGTAGAATCCCACCGCTACCTGTAACATTTCAGACAAGTGGCTGTCCAGTCCATTCTTAAAAGCCTCCAGTGATGGAGACCCACAGCTTCTGAAGGCAGACCATTCCACTGGTTAGTTGTCCTCACTGTTAGGAAATTTATCCTTAGTTCTAAGTTGCTTCTCTCCTTGCTTAGTTTCCATACATTACTTCTTGTCCCACTTTCTGGTGCTTTGGAAAATAGGTTGAGTCCCCTTTTTATGGCAGCTCCTCAAATATTGGAACTTTGCTATCATGTCACTCCTAAATTTTCTTTTCACTAAATTAGACATGCCCAATTCCTGTAACCGTTCTTCATATATTTTAGCCTCCAGACCCCTAGCCATCTTTGTTGCTCTTCTCTGCACTCTTTCCAGAATTTTAACATCTTTTTTATACTCTGGTGACCAAAACTGGATCCAATATTCCAAATGTGGTCTTACTAAGGCATTATCAAGCAGCACTAAGACTTCATGTGATTGTGATTCTATCCTTCTGTCAATATAGCCTAGGATTGCATTGTTTTTTTAATTGCTGCAGCACACAGCTGGCTATATTTCCCTGTTTTTGTTGACATTAACAGTAATTTTAAAATGATTGCTATTGCTATACTTTATGTTAACATTGCATGTGTTCTTGGTTATATCCAGTAGTGTGCTAGAGCTGGCTTATATCAGCTTGAAAAAGTCAATTGTTAAATTTTCTTTTTTCCTATTTCCTTTTTTTCTTATTTTCCAAAGCACCAGAAGGTAAGACAATAAACAATGGATGGAAACTAATCAAGGAGAGAACCAACGTAGAATTAAGGAGAAACTTCCTAACAGTGATAACTATTAACTAATGGAACAGATGGACTTCAGAAGTTGTGGATGCTTCATTACTGGAGGTTTTTAAGAAGAGACTGGGCAGTCACTTGTCTGAAATACTATAAGGTCTCATGCTTGAAGAGGGGGTTGGACTAGAACAGGAGTCTCCAACCTTGGCAACTTTAAGACTTATGGACTTCAACTCCCAGAGTTTCTCAGCCAGCAAAAGCTTTTTTTTTTGGCTGGCTGAGGAACTCTGGGAGTTGAAGTCCACAAATCTTAAAGTTGCCAAGGTTGGAGACCCCTGGACCAGAAGACCTGCAAAGTCCCTTCCAATTCTGTTCTATTCTGATTCTGATACCTAGAATTTTGTGAGCTGGTTGAGAGCAAAGTAAAGCTACCATGCCTAATCAGCTCTTCTGCAGCTAGTGATCTGGCGCAGCAGCAGTAAAAGAGCCAGCAATGCTGATTATTAAACATGTACCAGCACGCCAGTGGTTAGATTCCAAAAAGGAATTATTGTACAGTGCAATTCAGGCAGGAGAAATTTACACTTGGCTCTTAACATGATGTGTGGGTTGTCAATATTTGAAGTCATTTTTGCTCAACAAAGAGGCAAAAAAAGAAGACTTTTAAGCAATATGGTGTTTATAGCTATTTGTTGCATATTTTTCCTTGTTGGTTAAGGTCAGAACCACAGAAGGTTTTTAGATGTTATCAAAATCTTTCCTTGCTGTGAACCAAGCAGTGCAGAGATGACCTGGTCACTGTTGTCACAGAGACCAATTTGGCTGTGAGGCAGGTGGTGTGTGCCAAGGCTGTTTGCAATAACATCCACGTTTACATTGCTTAGAAAGGATTATGTAGGGGTTATGCTGACATCAACCTCTTTCCATGTTCCCATTGTCTTGGCTTTCAAGGACTTCAGAAAGCTCCTCTTCAAATCCACTGTTTTTCTTCTGCTGCTCTGTTCTTTCACTTGCTCCTGTTTGAGAAATGGGAAATAAGAACATAAACATGTTTTTCAACACTTTTTTGTCATCATCATCATTGTTCTATATTAACATTCTCGAAATCCTGAGTTCTGATTGGTCCATGCAGACCACAATCTGATTGGCTAACTAAACTACTGTGATTGGTGCGCTAAGAATCCACCACGATTAGCCGAGCCGATCGCAAGAAATTCAAAGTGCTGCCATTGGCCACCGAGCCGCCGGCCGGCTGAATAAAGCCAAGCGGCTCGCAGGTCTTGGACTGAACTGTATATTCAATAAAGAGCTGAATGTGCACTTTGAGTCTCGTCTCTCTATGCGACCCGATCTACCCGGGACCGATCTCCTGGACTTAACAATCATCATCATCAATATGTGCATAATAGGCATACTATGCACTACAAATGCATAGTACATATGTATACTATGCACTACAAATGCATAGTATACTAAAAGTCAGACCTAAGGGTTCCAATATTCCAATTTCTAAGGCAACCACAAAGAAGAGGGAGTCAAGCTATTCTCCAAAGCACCTGAAGGCAGAACAAGAAGCATTGGATGGAAATTAATCAAAGAGAGAAGCAATTTAGAACTAGGGAAGCATTAGAACAATGGAACAACTTGCCTCCAGAAGTTATGAATTCTTCAACATTGGAAGTTTTTAAGAAGAGATTGGACAATCATTTGTCTGAAATGGTGTGGGGTTTCCTGCCTGAGCAGAGAGTTGGAGCAACTCTGCAATTCTGTTATTCTGTGAAATCTTTCCTATTTAGTAATAGGGGAGCAGGAGAAAGAATAATTACAACTAGATGATAACTATGATATATACTCCATAAAACCATGTGCACAGAACACCACATAGCCAGCTAACTTAACTATAACTTCAACTACAGTTACCATCCATACTTCTTTCACCAACAATTCTCCTTTAATCATGATGAAGGTAACACTGCAATTTCTGATCAAGCTTCCTGGGAATGTGTGGATATAGATGCAGGTAGTCCTCACTTAACATTGATAGTTGGGGCTCTGTTGTTAAACGATTTCATCATAAAATGCAATGTCATGTGATTGCTTAGTGATGGCAATCCAGGCAGTCCCAATTGTTGTTGTTGTTAAGCAAGGATCATAGATTGTTAAGGGGGAAGCTTACGTGAGTGCAGCTTGCCACCTTCTGCCAAATTCCAATGAGAAGTCAATGGGGAAGCCAACAGGAAGTTGCAAGTCCCAATCATAGCAAGTCTTTTCTTAGATGGCTCGCAAGGTGGGGAGGTAAATGCTACCAAGTGCAGGAGGGCGAGTGGGAAGTAGGTGCTGTGGCACAATGCAAGTATGGGTAGGTTGGAGGTGAATGCTACAGCTTGACTTGAGTGCGACTGAGTGCAGATGGAGGGGTACTGCAGGCAGGTGGGCACTATATCATGCAAGATCACCAGAATCTTGTGCTGTGTAACATGACTTTCTGTACAAAACGTGGCAGGAATGGGAGAGCATTACAGAGCAACTTGCAACTTCCCTGCTGGCTTCCCCAATGACTGGGTTTTGAGGCAGCTGTTATCCATTTTCATCATGACATCCAGCTCATAATTATCAGCATTTACTTACTTATTCATGTTGGATAGCATTTCAAAATGTACTATCAAAGGTTTTCCTGAAATCAAAGTACATTATATCTACAGCATTCCCAACATCCATTAAAATAGTTCTCTGAATATGACCTGAGGTTAGTCTGACAAAATTTGTCCTTAACAAATCCATATTGTAATTGTAATTACTAATTTTTTTCAAAGTGTTTACAATCTCCTTGTGATCTGCCCTACAATTTTATCAGGCATTGATGCTAACTTGATTTGCTGCATTTTCTATTTCCCCCTTTTGGAAAATATGGAAAATATTTTGTGGCATTCTCACATTATGTATAGACATAATCTTACCTGTATCACATTAAAAAAAATTCCCATAATAGTAAGTAGTGTCCCCACACAAAAGGCACAAAATGCCAACAGAACTGTACCTTGAACTGCAATCTCTTGAAGCTCCTTTAGTAAGTTCTGATGGCGAAGGATGGAACGAATTCTTTCATCTGAAAGAACAGAAGGGCTATTATTTTAGTAGTAACAAATAGAGTTGGCACGCAATGATTTTGCTTGTCATAGTTTCATTGGCAGACCAGCTACGTGAGTTCAACTTGTCTACATGTTTTTTAAAAATTTAAAAGTGATTTTTGACATACATATTATTATTCAATCTTGTTAACTTCTAAATAGTTTAAACAAAATTGGAAAGAAACTGTACCTCCTTGGAGAATTTCTAGGCATTCTTGGCTGATTGAGAGTGGTTTTGGCTTTGCTACTGTATTAGAAATAACTTCAGCAATGCATGTCATCACCTAGAGAAACACAATATATTTGTATGGATTTTACATTTAAATTTTCCTTCATGGTGTTATGTTTAATACATGACTTTTCCCCTTCATCATTCCTGTCCTGTTTTATCCCTGCAACAGTCTTGTGAAGTTGCATAGATTGGGAGCCACCTGGTCCCAGAGTCACAAAGCTTCAAAGCTAAGAAGGTTTTGAACCTGGTCTTCCTTTCTGCCATGCTGAATCCTAATCCATCATTAACATAATATTGTCCCATTAGAATGAAAATTCTGTGTGATTTGAATTAAGTGCGAACTTCTCTGCATCATTTTTGCTATTTTTTCATAGTTGGAATTGCTATCCTTAGCATTAAAATTATGTTTTGTTTCCTTTTACATTATGGTGTAATGTATGTCACATTCTTTTTCACATAGCTTTCTGCTTCCTATATTCTTCCCATTTTACTTAAGTTTGTGCTAAATTTGAATTGAGCAGGCTTTTAATAAAGGACATCAACAAACAGAAAGTTATGATAGAAAACTGTTTAGAGAGAACTAACCCTTATAAAGCACAATTATGGCTTTTTAAAATGACAAATATATTATTGGTATGATCTATGTCAGGTCAAGGTATAAACAGGTCCAGGTCACCAGCCAGCAAATTATACCAATGGGATTAGAAATTAAATAAATGCACAAACACAGTTGTAAAGTGATATTCATCTGCTTTTTACTTTTATCGTGGTTTTAAGGCTTTATTTTAAAGACACTGATCAAAAAGACCTATGAAATTTATATATATAAATGTGTGCATGTGTGTGTGTTTTAGTAGAATCTTCCAGTTGGGGAAAGGTATTTTTCTTGATGTTCATGTGCATCAAGAATTCTTGGATTGGTTGCCCGAATTACTGGGTTCTCCTATGTACATCTCTATCTTGTCTGGAATGATTCAATTTATTTCTTTTTATCCATCAAAAGCTCTTTCTAAAACTGTCAGCCCTTTGAAGTTGTCCAGATCAGAAAACAGATTAGAACTAAGTTTTATATTAGAATCTTATAAAGTCTAATTGTTTTCCCCACTTCTCTTTCTATTACGAGTCAAAGAGAGGCCATCCTGAATTTCTTCCTTTTTTTCCTGAATTTCTTTCTAATAATGTCTTCCCTTCCCAGGGCTTAAAGAATGCTTCTGCCCTTTTTTATTTTTGTAACAGCTTCTGAATATTTCCCTCAAAGCCATCTCCATGGCTCTCTCACAAAAATCCATTCAAGGAGAATATAGCCTACCTGGGAGTTATAAACAGAAAAGACAAGTACTGTATAGGTAGATATTTTTATCCTATAACTAACATCACATTCAAACCTCTGAACAGTCCATTCAACAATTACACAGCGACTACATTTCCCTGCCTTTAGAAAGGCACTCTTGGATATTATTGGTTGATATCCTTGAAAATTACTAATCCCGTATCTGAATTTTTTCATCAAGTTTCACATTAATATTTTTAAGATGTTCTAATGTCATCCAATTATATTGTGCAGATAATGAAGGAAACTTTCCCTTTTTTCTCTCTTACCAAAGCTATATCTACCCTGTCTTTCACTATGCTGGAGATTTAGGCCAATTTGTTCTGATTTGGGAACTAGCAAGCTTTTCATTGCTAAGCATATGTTAAAACTTCATCAAAGAACTGCATATGATAATAGAGTGCACAAGTATGTATGGGAGAGAAAATATGAAGGTTTTGATTGTCTTTCGAAGGCTGCATCAAATTAAAGGAACAAAAGAATATCTGAAGAAGTGGGTATTTAAACAATTGATTATTCAGATGAGTTGTCTTTCCATCATTATGCATAGATAGATATGCGGTGCATGTGGAACACACAACAGTAAAACTGACCTAAAACATTAAAATAACAAGCACCAAGGAATGCTAATTCATATTACATAAGCAAAACATTCTATTTTTAGAAATTAACCCCCATTCCATCAAGTAAACATGAATGTCAGGATTTCAAAAGTATTTCAGGTAAATATTGTGCAGTCATAAGAAAAGAACAAAAGGAATCAGCAAGCTATCGAGTGGGGAATTTTTATGTAACAAATAAAAAAATTAGAATTATTGCCCTAAATTTGTCATCTAGTTTCAACACCAAGAAAAAGCTGGAGTCTTTCAAATTATTCCACAACAATCAACATGATATAAAATCGAAGTGCCACATTCTGTGGGACCAGCTTTGAACTTTTTCCTACTTACAGAAATGGTTCGTTTGTGTCTTTTGCTGAATTGCTTAATCGATTTGTTTGTTTTAAGTTGCAAGTTAACAGAATTTATTTTAGAACTACTGAATAAATAACTCCTTATTCTCCTCCCTCTCTCTCCCTCTCCCTCTCCCTCCCTCTCTTTCCCTTCATCTATCTATAATATTTATCCCAGTATCCCAGTATTCTTAAAAGCTTCCACACAGATCACTTTTCATTTTATCCCTGCATGACAACTATGGGAAGTTAGTTGACCTAAGAGAAAAGTGAAATAAAGTCACACTGTGTGTTTCCATAGCAGAGGATGCAGCTGAACTTGACCATCACCTCCAGTTCCATCCCAACACCTCAACTTCCACCCCATTGAACAGGCATGTGCAACCCATGTCCTGTAGGCTGCATGTAGCCCTGGACAGTTAGTAATGCAGCCTCACAAGACATCATGAAATAAATTTTAAAAGGAAGTTTGTTATTTATATACATTTAACTGTATTATATATTTATGTGTGGCCCAAGATAATTCCTCTTCACTCCGTGTAGCCCAGGCAAGCCAAAAGATTGGTCACCCATGCTGTAGAAACTTCATTTGTGGGACTGCAGTTTGCTGTACCACTTGAGAATTTAGGAGGATAGTGCTGGTAATTTTTTTGCTGTGGAAGTGGGGTGAATTTATAATCATATACTTGACCTTCTTACATTGTCACCTATACTAGATGAGTAACAGTTGTTGGAAGGGCTGCTTAGAGCAGTCAACCTTGGATTAGAATTTGGCTATGTGTCTCAGCAAGAGGCAGCATATGGCTGACCTTGTCTGGATTTAGAACCTAAGCTGGATGGGGCCTGTGTAATACTTGGAAATGTGATCACCAAGGACTTCCAAGCAGAGAAAGCAAAACATCCAAGGTGGCAAATAATTTCTCTCTCTCTGTGTGGTTGTGGCCACACATTCACAGAAATAGAACTCAACTCGATGGAATCTTTTCCTTTGTTTTTGCAAGGGAACTCACTGATCTTCAAGTGCTTTTAAAAGAGAAAGAGTGTTATTAGAAAACAACTTGTGGCACGCTAAATGAACAAGGTGCTTTCCAATGGCACTGTCCTATAGCTGTTTTTCCTGTGAGCTTCAATAGGACTTTCCCCATGTAACAATCTATTGGATTGCATGGTTTCAGATTCCTAGTACCTTCATGTAATAATCCGTTACATTCTCATTTCCATATAATTCATTGGATTTCTTAGTTTATACTGTATTTAATTGTTTTTAGAAGTCATTTGATTAAATTTGGACATTATAGGAAAAAATATCCAATAGATTGTATAAGTATTAATTTTATATAAAATTGTGGAATCATAGGGTTGGAAGGGACTTTGGAGGTCTTCTAGTCCATCCCCTTGACCAAAGCAGATTTTTTTTCTCTATTTTTTTTTGTATTTCTCCCTCTTCTTTTTTTAAATTTTTTTATTGGTTTTTAAAAACAAACATAAACAAACAAAACATCAAAACATCAAATCATCTTCCATATATGTACATACAAGTGTGCAGGAGATCTTATACCATCCTGGACAAATCATTGTCCAAACTTTTCTTGAAAACCTCCAGCAATGGATCATCCACAATTCCAGCTGTTCCATTAATTGTTCTCACTGTCAGAAAAAAATTTCCTTCCAGATTCAATCTCTCTTTTATTTTAATAGGTTTTCTGGCTCATGTGCTATTTTCCTCTCTGTGCTGTAGATTTGTAACCAAATTATATACAGCTGTAAGAAACAAGAATTTTCTTTTTCTTTGTGTACCTTATACTATTGTCTTTCCCTCTTAATCTTTTGCTTTTTCAGATCATTTTACATTTGAGCAAACCTATACAAGATTGTGCAGCTGGCAACCATCTATTTCTAGTGCCTTCCTTTTATGAGGCAAAGGGTTACTTATATTTGGCCCCTTAATCCAGCAAAACCTGCTTAAACCCATTCATATTTAGTCTGCATACAGTATATCTGTCATATCATATAGTGAACTTTTATACAAATATTGTTCAGGTGCCATATTCTTTTATCTTTAGCAACCATACGCTATCCTGTGCTCTTTCCAGTAGTTTTCTATTGTCTCTTGCTGAATTCTATAGCACACCATGTCTTTTTATTGAATTCAAGCCATGGACAATAGCTACGCTGCAGATGGCATCATTAAAATGAAAGAAAATGCAGCAAAGATTCAATTGCATATTGAAGCATATACTGTATATAGAGAGAGGGGAGAATTTATGGGCATTTTAGGAAACTCATAAATGGCACAATAACAATGGCACAATATTATGTAACGTTTTGGGCTTCCAAATAAGACACTAATCACAGAGATTTGAAATCTTCAACAGGACAGGCCTCCACAACTGCTGGTTGGACATGCTGACTTCTAAACCAAACTGCCCCTCAGGCTCCAGGCTGACATAAACTGGATAGAGATGCAGAGTGCAGAGTTTTAACAGGATTGGAAATTATAGTATGTTTGTAGAGATTAAGGATAATTAATATGGCAAAGAAGCTGGAAAAAGTTTCCTGTTTTTTTTCCATCAAAAAAATTGAGAGATCCTTTGTCATTAATTACATAAAAAGGGGGGCAGTAATTACATTTTCTATTTAGGAAAATTAGAAGAGGGCAGCAATTTTGAAAATCCAGCATATTAAAAAAATAATTGGCTATTCTGACTGTAATCTCTGGTTTGTTTATGGAAGCCACACGCATACACGAGCCCCAAGCAGACCCAGCATTGGAAACTTTGCTAGCTTCTAGAGGTCTCAGGATTTTTGGCCAACTTTAGGTGTTAATCTGGGACGAGCTTTCCTAATACAATATGCTTAGAGCCAGCCATATGCTTATCAATTTGCCCCTATGTCTATTCAATAAATTTCAGCCAATGCTCAGATCAAGCATTGGCAACCTGTATTTAGAAATGTATGGATTTATTTTCATGACTGGATTTACTTGTTCACATACAGTCTGATATACAAGTGTGAAATAGCCTATGTGTCATGCCCCTGTCAGAAGAAACAGGGGAAGGGCAAAGTCCAGTTGGGAAGAGCAGGGAAGACGTAGAACAAGGGAGAGGGAATTCAGAGGTAGACCCAGGCCCACCCCCTCTTCATCCTAGGGCACGCAGGGAAGAATGGAGAAGGGAGCAACATGAGTTGAGTGGCTTACTGGGGAGGAAAGGCCCCTGGTTCCCTTTATTAGCTGCAGCTGGGAACACAGTGTATAAAAGAGGAAGCTGCACACAGCAAGTTGTTGGGAGCAAACTTGAATTTATCTGGTATCATCATGGCTTGTCTGTGTTCCTGGCGTCTTCCCACCTGCATGAGTTTCACCGTGCTTTCAAGTCTGAAATTGCTTCTCCTGCCCTGTCAAATTAATTACTTCAGCTTGGTTTGTTTGGATCTTTAGTTACAGTTTGTGTATACCTTGTTTTGGATTGAATTTTCTACAGTGAAAGGCTGTTCCTGGGAAAGTTTTTCTCCAGCCAAAGGTAACCTGGACATTGGGGGCAAAGTTGGAGATACTAAAGGGACTCTTATTGCTTATTTGACTATGTTGCCTTTGTGCCATGCCCCGGACCATCACACTATGTATTCATTTCTCAATTTCATAAATGAACAGAAATATACTGTTCATCCAATTTGCCACACAATGGAAAAAATATTCCAGATTTTTAACTGTATATATGTTACTCAGTATGTATGTACCACTGTGGCTGAGTTCACACATTGTGTTAAGATATAAAACACAGTTTACACATAATACAGTGTTTGAGTTCATCATGGTAAGCTATACCAGACCATCACATTATGGGTTTCATGCAATCTCTGAACCCAACCCCTCTGTCCAGAAAGTTTGAAAGCATGAAATTGGACATCTAATTCATGCCCATGTAAAGATGCCGCACCAAAAAACAAAACATTCCACTCAGTCAGCAACATGTTGTTCAATTCACACAAGCCTCATATACTGTATGTGTATCGCATGTGCATTATATGTGATACACATACATGTGACTTTCTCAATCAAAGGTATCTTGATATGTGCCCCAGAATATTGCATGAAGAAGAAATGTTATGGATAACTTGACAGGATGAATGAATACGTTCCAAAGATGTCAGTACCAACTTGAGTTCAGAGGCATCTCTTTTCCTTTTATCCAAACATATCATGTATCCAAATAATTCTTCAAATCTAGATTCGGTAATTATGTCTCATCACCACTCTGCATACACCATGTATGCTTTCAGTTATCAGGAGTTTACTGTTCCTTTATGTTACCTGAATAATATAAATGTGTATATATATTTTCCTTTGGTTCTTCCTTTTGATTTACATTGCCTCTTCCCTATCTTGTGCCTCTTACTGACTATTTTCATTATGCTGCCAGCTACTCTTAAGTTTTTAAAAAGCAATAGGCTACATCTAGCTGACAATGAACTTACACAGGATATATATGAAAAGCTAATCCGTTAAACTTTCATGTTTTAAAGAAAAGCATCTATAACTGTTCCTGAAAGCTGAAAAAAAATTCCCATTGTTAACAGGACCAAAAATATAACAAATAAATCATTTATCTGTAGTTTCATTTCAGACATTCCAGAGCACAAACCTGATTTTATGACTATATATTTGCATACATTTTTTATTTCTTCATGGATGCACTTGCAATTAGACATGAAATTTAAAGTATTTATTGCAGCTACTCTTCATGGACAGATCTACAAAACTTGTATATATACTTGAAAATTTAATGTGTGAAAAGACTTAGCAATTCATTGTTATTTCAAGAAGTTTTAAAAATGATAAATTGTACATTTATAGATTTGAACATGCATGCCAATAATATATAACAACATTCCTGCTTAAAATCTTTTTTTTTCAACTCACCTTGGTGTCATCTTGAGTTGTTGGATTTGTTACTGGAAGTGAAATTACTAAGAGAGAAGAGAAAGGATGACTTTAATATTTCACATTCTCTATGGCATTTCCAATCAGAATGCATCATAGATATGGGGTGTGCAGAAAATCAGTAAAGAGGTACACAAGAGACTATAAACCAGACCAACAGTATATAAAACGAGCATCATAAATTTGCTCATCTTTTGCATTTTAAAAATAGTTGCTACTAAAAAAAGAATGGATGAATTGAGCTGATGGTTTTGTGGAGGATTCCATCTGCAATCAGTTGAGACTGATTAGTGAATTGAATCATTATTCGTAAGAGCACTACATGGCATTCAAAAACACAAGTAGAGGGGTAGCTGAGAAGAATGAACATTTCATAAGACTGAAGATTAGAATTGCAATTTCCTTTGGTTCTTAAAATAAAACTCTTTGCCAACGGCGTTTTGCTGTTTTGGAACATTAAAATGTTTGAGTAAAAAGGATGTCTATGGAGATTCCCAGTCATATCAGGTCATGGTTGTCCCAAAGGTGCTTTTTCAAGAGGTAACTTGAAACTTTCTGGTTTTTCTTTGAAGACATTTAGCTTCTCATCCAAGCTTCTTGGATGAGAAGCAAAACATCTTCAAAGACAAACCAATTGCCTCTTGAAAGAGCACCTTTGGGACAAATAAAAAGGAACTTGACATTCTTGACAAGATCCTGCTGTCACTGGCAATAGTCTAGTGAAGTCTCTCGATTTCCTACCGCTGACTTCATCATCATCATCATCGCAAAGCAGGCCGCCTCGTTCCAATCGGCGCTGGATGGCACAACGTCGCGCCGACCAGTGCATTGGCTATTCGAGGCAATGGCCGCGGCGGCTCTGTCCTTGGTGCTGAAAAGGGCAGCCGAAAGAGGAGAAGCGCCTCCGCGCAAGTTCCCGCACCTGCCTCTTGAGCTTACCTGGGGCTACGAGGAGGAAGGCTGCGAAAAACGCCGCGCGAGTCATTCCGCTGGCAGTAGGGACTGTGGGGCCGTCCGGCTGCGCTTCTTGGCTTTATCGGCGGGGCAAAAAGAGGGGAATGGGGCGCGGTTTGTCGGACAGGCGTTGACCTTGACCGAGCGCCGAGCCGCGAAATAGATTATCCTCTGTCCTTCTTGCCCGTCCCAAGATCCTCTGCCTTCTCGAAAGCGGTTGCCGACAATCCCCGACCAAGCACTGCAGCCGCAACCTGGCTTATATATTCTCCCTCCTCTCCTCCGGAAACGGCGTCAGAAGGAAGCTCACTGCCCCTCCCAGGAAGGCCCCCTCCAATCGCTTCTCTGCGGGGGATTGCAGAGCCAGGGTGAGGTGAAACTGTCCCTTCGCCTGATCACCTAAGCAAAGGACAAGGCGGGGCCCGGTGGCTAGCAGCGCCTCGCATCTGGACGAAGGTAGCTAGCAGCCCCTCGCATCCAACAGCACGTTCGACCGCTCGCTTTCCGCGCTGTATAAGGCGCGCAGGTATTTCTTCCCATGTGGATCATCTCTGGTGCTGGACAAGATCGGGGATGAAGGCTAAGCCCGTCACACTGGGAAACACGTCAGGGAAGACAGGATGTCTTCTGAAGCATCTTTAGGGTCCTGTGCTTGATACTTTTTAGGACGACAATTTGGTGTAGTGAACGGCTGACCCAGGGGTGGGAGAGCTGTCTTCCCAAGCTGTGAAGGAGGCGCCTGATCATCTACATATATGGGAGCTTTTGATCATTAGGAACTAATTGTGTCAAGTCATTTATAGAAATAATCAGTTCAAATGCAGTTACTAATCCAACTGGCATTTCATCTTGACTCATTCAGGAAGCAGTGATCTGAAACTAATTTGAGCTCTTGTTTCTTGTAAAATTGCTTCTTCTGAACTCCATAAAGTTCCTCTTAGAAGAACATTCAATTGAAGCACCATTATTGCCCAGGTTTAATTTAGTTTATCATTACTTAATGTAATAATATCAGTCACTTAGCAAAGTAGGCCTCCAACTTTAATTCTGCAAAATGTTGCCATTAGAGCCACAAAATAGGAAGTACTTGTTTCCACCAACAGAACATGGAAGATATCCATTGGAGCAGCATCTTGCTGAAGAATAGTTCAGACAAGTATGCTTAGTGGGTTATTCTTGATTTGTTTTCAACCATTATGTGCTCTGCCCCCCTCCCCCCATCAAATCAATGTCAGATATGATACCACTCTTAACAATTAAGCAACAATAAAAACAATAACAATCAGTATTTTGATTTTGTCCCTGATCAAATTCATCTTTTGTTTTCTACACAATATCCAGCTTTTAAGTGTATTTTCAGTCTTGAAATTGTCCTCTTGCTGCTCCCTGTCCTGTCTTGTCCATAAATGTGATAGTCTTATTTCTGATCCCTTATTCAAGTCATGTATAAAAATATGTATTAAACATGTATAAAACCAAAAAAAGGAGTTTTGTTAAATCACACAACAAAACAAACAATCTTTAACAATGCTTAAATAAACCAATTACAGTATTCTTCCAACTGGCTATGGTGATTGATTACTGTTACTATTATATTCATTTTATTAAGTAGGAGTCCATTTTAACTAACCTGAGAATTGATCTGTTGTTCAAACACTCATGGCTGGGATATCTTGTTCCCATATATACAGTATTTAATGTGCTTATCTTTGCACAGTACTGTTGGAAACTCAGGTGCGTGAAATCTGATGTTGTTGCAACAGCTGTTATGCTGTCTTGTTCTTGATCTGTAAGCAAACAAAACCTGAGGGTTTTTAATTAAAATAAGTGTTCCTCCCCCCCCCCTTCCCCCCCACATATTGATGATCTCAATTTTGGTCACAACCTACAAAAGCATTTGTAATAATAATGGAACTAGAGTTCTGTCAAGCCAACCATGTGATGTACCTCTATACTGAAAAACTGTCCTTTTCATATGCAATACTGTAGAATAAGTCTGTCAAACCACAAGTTGAGCCCACCTCATTGATCTTTTGGCAATGAGTGTTGAAATGTGTACCTTGTATTCTTGAAGAAAATGGCCTAGGAGAAAACTTGCAGCCAGATTGGAATGAGCTGTTAAGTACAGCAGTCCCTACCATAAATCTTTACCATTTGAAATTGTGCCCAGAATAGAGCAACACTGTTAAATGATGGTGAGCTGTAACCTTGTTTGTCCTTGTAAGAGGGGCCCCTCAGTTCACTTTAATTACAGTAAGTGTTGATGTTAAGGTTAAGGAAGAAATTGAAGGTATATGATATCCATGCTCAGAAGAAATAACATTCAGCAGTCAGTCTAATGAGACTATTATCTTTTATCCAGTCAAGGATGAGGAAGAATATTTATATCTCTTTGTTAAATCAACAAATAAAAAAGGACCATGAGAGGTTTATATCCTTTGATGCATGATAAAATCAATATTAAAAATGCCAGATGCCCTACAATTTAATTTATCAAAGTGGTTTAGAGGATATGTTTGGATGAATGAAGGTGTGTTTGTTTGTTAGGAAAAGGCTTTGCAGCTTCTGTGATGAAGTTTGCACGCCACTCTCAAACCTGATTGCACAATGTGAGCAAATGTTTGTTCTTAACCATAGCTTAAGGATATGATTTATTTTTTGGCCAAAATGAAGCCCAGTTTGTGTTGGCCAAATAAGAACAGAATATAGAATATATTCCATGGAAAATATAGAAAAAATAACCACATCCCCACCATACTGACAGGGCAAGCTACTGTATGTAAAACAGGGAGCAAACCCCATTCCCTTCTCCGCTGGAGATATTACTTAACCTGATAACAAAATACCTGCAAGCAAACTACCAAGCTCAGAGAGCATCAAGGACGCCATAAAGCCCATTTAGCTAGATTTCATTTTCCAAGGACCATAATCCGCAGTGAGAATGGTGAACAGAAAGTTTTTAGAGTGCCCTGCCAAATTTTATTGGCCTTTAACTCCATAATCCCCATATACATAGTGGCTATTTTATTCATAAAATTTATTGGCCACCTATGCTACCATTGGGTATCTCTGGGCAGCTTATAATCATAATTGCAGATGGAAACTGGAATCCATCAATATCTGGAGAGTCACAACTTTTCCTACCTTGGTTTTAAAGGCAGAAATATTAATACTGCTAAGGGAACTGTGTCACATGTTTCTATCCCTCAGGGCCTCAAGAATAGAGATGTTCCATTATTTTTCTCCAGTTGTTGTGGCTTGCCGGCAGCCGATGCAGACGGCAAGGAATCGGACAGTGAGGAAGAAAGGGGAGCAGTCAGGGAGTCTGGGGAGGACTTAGATGATAGTGCTGCGTGCAATGCAGGGATGGGGCCAGGACCATCTTGGAGTGGGGTGCTATCTTTGGGGCCTTTGGAGTCTGGCAGCAGAGAAGCAGAGAACCCAGGGGAGCCTGTTCTCAGTGCGCGTGTGTGCAGAGCTGCTAGAAGGCGAGAGCAGTTGAAACAGAAGGGGCAATTCATGAGTAAGGCTGGGAGGTGATTGGCCCTCTCATAAGGTATAAAAGTCAGACCTCAATGATGAAACCTTTGCAGGAAGCAAAGTAGTTTGATAGATTCCAAGTCCTCCTTGAAGCTCTTTATACTCTGGTTGGTTTTTTCTTCGGTTGGTTTCAGTTATAATTAATTGGATACTTGTTTTTGGCAGCATTCCAGAGCACTGAAAGGCATATGCTTATCTTGGGAAACAGTTTAAGATTAGTTCTGGCTGGGAATGAAAGTAATTCCCAGCATTGCAATAAAATAGGTTTTGCTTTTAAAACTAGTTTGTGTTTAATTACGTTTGACGAAGCCTGGGTCAGAACACCAATCCTCTTGTTCCAATCTTACCTACCAGATGTACTATGGACATCTGGATTTGGGAAAAAAAGCAGGAGAAAGTGTTGTCAATAAACAAACGAGACAAATGTTGCTATATATCAGGATAGGGAAGAGTTGAAAGATCATGCAGATAGGGAGGCATCTGCAAAGGGTGTGTAGATAAAGTGCTCAAGATGGTGGCAACTTTGCTTCCTTTTTACATTGGAATGGAACAACTTGACAAAGCCAACTCATCATGGCCAATTCATCATAGCCAATTCGCCACAGCCAACTCATTGCAGGACAACTCGCCATGGCCAACTTGCCACAGGACAGCACACCGTGAGACAATTCAACAATTCAATTTAATTATTTAAAATAGTTAAAAATGTTTTAGTTTTGTCATTCAAATTTCATTTTATCCCTCCTTTGGCATCCTTTCTTTAATCATTCTATTCCACTATTTCTTTGATATTAGTGTAACTCTTGCCTGTGGCAAGTTGGCTGTGGCGAATTGGCCATAGTGAATTGGCTGTGGCAAGTTGGCCATAGTGAGTTGGCCATGGAAGTTGGCTATGGTGAGTTGTCATAGACCATTTTTACACATGTTGATATGAGACACTTAAGAAAAGGGTGGGACTTCCTTGATGGAAAAATTAATTGAAGGATCAAAATGGAGGCTAAGAGACTGTCTCCATCTTCCTTCCTTCGAGACCTATGCAAACTCCAGCTTCTTCCTCCCATCAGACTCAGAAAGGATGAAGCACCCAAGACAAAAAAAGAAGATGCCTCCTTCTCCCCTTCATGCTATAGAGTAACCTGTAAATAAAGAAATTGCAAGACAGCAACCAAGCAAAACCTACAAGCATCCCACTCCCAACCAAGAACATGCACTCAAGTATTTCAACTTCCCATCTCTTTAGCAACTGACTTCATTTTTTGGCTAATTTACATGGGACATTGGGACAAGAACATGTCTGCTGTTTCCCAACAACTGCAAGTGAATCAGAGCCCTAGGACTTTCTGGATCACAATCTATATTTTCTACAAAAGTACTCACCTTCCTTTGTCCAGGGTTCCTCTTTCTAGTGAAGCTGGGACCCAACTATCTTTGAATAAATGTTTGTATGCCACACTCACTGGAGTGGGATGGAAAGTCAGGGGAGACCTTTGCAGTCATAGGCTTGTACTCA